AATCCTCTCTTGGCTGACGGCTGATGTTCGATCGGATTGGGTCAGGAACCAAGCGAGCAGTCTGACTCCTACTGCCAGTAGCAGAGGCCTTCGAACCCGCGCCTTTGTTCACAACCAACCTCAGTGGCCCAGACCCCAAGCCCAACCCTTCAGCAAAAAAGACCGGAGAAGACAAACTCTGCAGGCGCGGTGGATGAATAGATGTGGCCTCAACAAAAATTACTAGGTAGGGCTTTGGATATATATAAGGATCCCACTATTTAGGGTACCATATTCGGGTCCCCTATTGTCGGAGACTCCCAGGTTAAGCTACTCGCAAACTCCTGGAGCCTCCCCAGGCCCAGTCCCAATGTTGGCAGCATCCAAAATGCTTGGGGTTCGGTGGCGACCTCTGACACAGATACTGTAGGAGCCTTAAAAAGTACCTACAATATTTTTTGTTGGGGGGGGTTCCCTATTAATAAGTATTGCAGTATAATATCACCCAAAACCCTATTCTAATTATGGGCCTCTGTGGTATCTACCGCATTCCTCACTTAATCCTATAAACCCTAAACAGTACACCTTAACCTTCACAAAACCCTTAACACTTCGAAACCCCGCAGCTTGACACGAAACTCGCACTTGGGCAGGCAACGTTCCCTGTGCCCGCTGTGGTCTACGCCGTGGCTTTGGGGGGGCTTCTTGGCTGTCGCTGCTTGGGGTTAGGATCGGGGCCTGAATTACTAAATAATTACTTATCATAATTACTAGTTTGGGGGTTCCTTATTATGATTATGTAGGATTATGGGCCCCAAAGCCCTATTCTAATTATTAAGGCCCTTATATTTTAGGATTCCGGGGCTGCGTGTTCGAGACCAGAGCCCCACCATGCCCGAAGACACTCTTCCAGCCCTCGCTACACCCTTAAGGGAACTCCAGAAAGTTGGAATATGGTTTCAGGGTAGGATACCTTATAACTTACCATAAAGGGCTTAGGATAATCATATTCCAACTTTCTGGCTTTTACTTTAAGCCTTCCCTATTCCCTACACCCTAAACCCTCCCTAAACCCTGAGACTTCTCTTCACCATGAGCCCTCCTAAACCCTGAGCCCAAGAGGCCCGGAGCAGCGGTCGGTGTTGGAGCAGCGGCACTTGCTGGCTTGCAGCCTTTCGGAGTAGAGGCAAGGGACCCGGGACAGCACTTGGTGCTGCAATGAAGCCCAGACCCCAACCCAACCGACAGTCCTTCACGAAGTCGTGACTTTGCGGCCGTAGAACTCTACAAACTGTAAGCTCAAAAAGGGATTACTTACATCCTCGACCAGAAAACGTGTCGAGACTTCCCTTTGGGACAGACTTTCGGACTGCGGAAATGCCTTGAGTGCATGTGGTGGTGTGCGGGTCTTTCGGGGTGTGCAAGGTAGATGAACCTGCCGTTGTATAGGAGTTGGAACCTCGCTGCCTCACAATTAGGGCATTGAGCACGTTATACAAGGTAGAAGGGTCAATGTGACGCAGGGCCCCTAAACCTCAGAAGTTCTGGGATTTGCAGGCTTGCGATCGAGACGTCTGGAGCTAGTGAGGTCAGATCTTGGCAAGCTATAGGCATACTTGCAGGCATTCAGCGCATGTCATGTGAAGGAAGCCCCAAACAGGGCTTGCCTCGCACAATCCAGAGAGTATCTCCGGGCAGCTTTATGACGGGGTTTGGAATCCTCGCGCTTTCGAGAACAGTGAGATTTTGCAATTCAGTTTTTCCTGAGGCAGGTGGAAGCTTGTAGGTTGGCATGATGTCTGGTTGTGGGGTCTGAAGTTCGGATTGCTATGGGGGCTTCCGGAAATAGGGGACCCTAATGTAGTACCCTAAATTGTAGGATCCCTGTTATAAGGACCCCCAAATAAGGTACCCCCATTTTCGGAAACTCCCATATAGCTAAGCGATGCTAAGCACATCTAACAATAGGGATGCACGGGGTCCAGCCGGACCGGACATGATCCGGACTCTGTTCGGCTACAAGGCACATGCTTTTTGGTGGGTTACGGTTCCTGTATGTTCCTTTTGTAGGAATCTTCAAAACAGTTGTTGCTTACCATCTACATTAAGCGGAAAGTGGTTCAGCAGACAGCTCCCAAACATAGCTCAAGATTCGGAGCTCGTTCTGAAAGTTTAAACCCTAACCCGTAAAGCCCTAAACCCCTAAACCCGTAAATCCTAAACCCAAAGTTTCGGATCTTGCTTTGTGATTTATAGGGTTTAAGGGTGTTTAAGGCTAACCTTAACCCTGAAGAACCTACCTTTTTGAGGACTTATATAAGGAAATCATAACAGGGAACCCGAAAAAGGTAGGTTATGCAGGGTCAAGGCTTAAGGTCTAGGATAGACCCTGGAGGCGCATCTCGGTTGGCCTTTCGTGGGTGTGGGAGACTTGCCCGCATTCCCTCCACAATGCAAGTTGCTGGGAATAGGGTCCAAAAGGCGTCTGAGCGATAATCCAGCACGCATTTGAGTGTATGTGGGCACGATACAGACATTCAGACAACATAGGGCTTCGGCAAGTTGAATGTTAAATGCAGTCTTCGCCGTTTCAGCTTTCAGTTGGAATCGTGGACGGTTGTGAACAGAAGGCACGGGGGATCTTCTGGCACCTGTGAGCGGTTGCTCTTGGCTGCTACAAGTTAGAGGCCTAGGGACGATGAGCAAAGTTACGGCTTCAAGACCTCCGCTTGGACCATTTTGAGACTTTCAGCGGCCACAAAGCAGCATACATGCTGCGCAAGAAAGCATCTTGCTATGCATTTGTTTTTTGTGGCAGGCTGTGCCACAACGGCGAGCCGAGCAGCGCAGGTTTTGCCTTTGTCAGCTTGTTGCGAAGCTAGGTCTCACCCTCACTAGATATAGAATTGAACCCCTCAGGGGTGAAAACCAAAAGTGTTTCAAGACCACAGGACGTCCACTGTGGGACCCACTCCACCCGCAGCCTTCACCAACGGCTCCGACCTCCAAACTTCGAAGATCTCTGCGTCAAAGGATTGATTTGCTTCGTGGGGTCGATGTGCGCATGGTCCAGACGCCTGGCTGCAGGAGGGTCAGTAAACTTGACCGCATGCACAGCGGCAACCACCTTTCAATTCTGTTGATGTTTCGCTCTTCTTGATTGGATGCTCTTAGTAATTCCTCAGCCACTTGGGTTTCGGGGTTTCGGTGCCAAAGCTCAGGCTTGAAGGGGACGGCTCCACATTCAGGGTTGATATAGGGGCCTCAATACTTACCAACATTATTGTGGGGGCTCCTTATTACAACGATAGCATAATGAGCTCAAAAACCCTATTCTAATGATTAAGGCCCTATATTACGCATTTGCATTGCCAATCCGTGCGATTAGCAAGCTTCGCACGTCGAACGCTGCGTGAAGACGAGTGATGAAATTTTCGACAGCATCCCAGAGGCCGCAAAAGTACAGACTATTCAACGCCTCCTCACTCCTGTACCCCCAAACCCTAAACCCTAAACCCTAAACCCTAAACCCTAATCCCTAATCCCTAAACCCTATTTAAACCCTAAACCCTAAACCCTAATCCCTAAACCCTAAACCCTAAACCCTAAACCCCCAACCCTAGATCCGCAGCCTTTTTTGAGCCCTAAACCCAAAGACCCGAAACCCTAAACCCCCAACCCTAAACTCCAAACCCTACAATGCCCTAGAAGCCCTAAACCTGAAAACCCTAAGCCATCAACCCCTATAAGCCCTAAACCCTAAGACCCTATGACCAAAAATCCTCAACCCCTATAAACCCTAAACCCAACCAGGATCTCCAGTAGTAACCTTTTTCCTTTTTATTCTTAAGTTACTGGGTATCCTGGAACCCTAAACCCAACCACAAAGATGATTTCTTCAAAAACCCAGGACTTCGCTTGGCGATTTCGGTGATCCGCTGCACTGCAGCCTTCCTCCGCGCCAGGTCCTTGCTTAAAGGATCATGGGACTTAGTAAGTAGGGTTATGATTAGGGTAACTATACTTATCCCTGTAAGGAGCCCTTGAAGGAGCCCCTGACTTACTAAGTCCCATGATCCCCCAAGGGTCGGATTCGGCGCTTTGGGGCGAGGTTTCGGGCCATCGAGTCACGAGCACCTGTGTTTAGGCCATGAACTACGTCTACGTGCTGTAGGGGCCTTAAGTTATTGCAGTAGGCTTCCGTTTTAAGGGGTCCTTTAAAGGGATCTATAGGGGATCTGTAGTAGGGTCCTATGATATAGGGGCCTTATAGTTTTTACCGGCACTATTTTGTGGGCTTCCTTAGTAGATATTGCATAATGGGCACCCCATAATATGTGCATCGTCTGCGGGTACCCTCCAAACGGAATGCGTAGAAGAGCCTTGCATTGCCTCCAAGCCTTGTGCAAGAGTTGCAGGAAGCTCCTTTTCCTAGATTTTTTCGGGCTCAACAGGCTTTGAGAACCTGACGATTTCTTTTTGCTCTGTGTTTGAAGGTTTGTTTCAAGGAGTCGGTGGTTTGGGCTTCGGAGATCTGGCCTGTTTACGGAACGTGGAGGGTCTGTGCATGTACTTTCGACGTATCCTTCTGCAGCTACGAGGAATCTGTGGAGCTTTGCATCCAGTAGTATTCCTTATAGTATTCCTTATAGTAGTCCTTCTATAGATCCCTTTAAAGGGACCCTTTTCTGATTATTCAGGTCGCAAAAGGTGTTTGTCATGTGTGGTTCAGTTCCGGGGTCCCTTCACGTAGCTCTGAGTTCTTACCAACCAGCCACCGGCACTGCTTTGATCCTGTAACTTGAGTGCCCAGGCTCCCATGGCATGGGCAGGGCAGAGGGCAGAAAGGTCGTAAGCCTCCAGTGTTTTTGAAGCGCCGCACCCAACCGTAGACCCCTCAACCTTGAATCTTAGGAGTTTATATGGGATATCCCTATTCTAATTTTTGCTTATGTGCTTTTTTTCGGGGACCTTGAATCGCCGATAGGCCAGCAGTTGGCCTTCTGCCCGCGCTCTTCGCCATGGTGCATGTGGTAGGCAGCGAGGGATCGCTTGCAGCGTTTGGCGATTGAAACATTCGAGTTGCCCTTTCACTGGCAATTTTTGAAATTGGTAGAAAGAAACTGTCTGAGGGCTCGATAGGGACGGTCTGTCCGTGAACGCCTAAGCCCAGAATCGTTTCAAATCTCGAAGACGACATTCAGGCTTCTCTGAGACACATTGCAAACACAGACATAGACTGCAAAGGCATCAAGAACCCGGGCAACATCGTGAATCATCATCTTCGTACTCACTACACCCTAAAACCTAAACCCCTAAACCCCATCATCTTCGTACTCACTACACCCTAAACCCTAAACCCCTAAACCCTATACCCCTAAACCCTAAACCCCTAAACCCTAAACCCTAAACCCCTAAACCCCATCATCTTCGTAGTCACAGCCCCAAGCTTCGAGAAACCGAGACCCCGCAGAGGCATCGGCCTCTGGTTGGCGGCTGTACTTGGCGTACGTCTCCTGAGCTGCACAGTGTAGGGACCCCAAAAGCACATAAGCATAAGCATTTTATGGGGATATCCCTACCTTATTGGGCTTCATTATAAGGGGATTTATATGGGATATCCCTACCCTAATTTTTGCTTATGTGCATTTTTTGGGTGCCCTCACAGTATGCAGCCTCTTCCCCCAGAGACCAAGAGCAGCCTTTTTCCGTAACCCTATATGGGTGGTTGTACAAAATTAGGGTCCCTTTTTGAGTAGAGTTTAGGGTTTAGGGTTTAGGGTTTAGGGTTTTAGGGTTTAGGGTTTTGGGTTTAGGGTTTAGGGTTTTCTAAATATTAGGTGCCGTATTATAATAAGGACCCAAAAAGGGACCATCATTTTGACAACCACCCATATGATAGAACCCTATTGAATTGTTGGTCCATTGAAAAGAACCCCCTTTAAGGAGCCAATTTCTCAGTACTTCGTGAAGGGCGTGGACGTGTGGGTCTAGCGGGGGCCGGGTTTGAGATCCAGGCTTCGGGGGTTCGGTGCAGAACTACCCTGCGCCGTAGATCATCTGAGGGATCGACAGGCTGCGAAGGCCTTGTGCCTTATGCCTGTTTAGTCTTTTTAGGGAGTTCGTTGAAGGAAGTCGGATCTTGACTTGATAGATTGTTGTCAAGCTTTAAAAGCTGAAACTCCGAAATCCTGAGCTGTGCTTGGGGTTAAGACGAGCCAATGGGACTAGGCATGTTTGTTGAGTTCAGATCGACGAGATCAAGTGCCTTTAAGCACAATGTACACTCCAGAACCGCATGTGGCCCGAATGCAAGAAGTGGTTGGTTTTGTTGTGGGTTGCTTGTGGTTTGGGCCGGATGTTTGTGCTGACTACAGGTATTGTTCTGCTAGATCTACCGTCTTCTCTTACCAAGTCCTGCACTGAAGACTGGTATTGAGTTTAGAGAGTTTCTGCAGCCTATCCCGTGCAGGTATAGGGTTTCTACGGATGCGTCGAGAAATATTCCTTGCATATATGAGGCTCAGGGTCCGGAAGCAGTAAAGTAAGGGTGGGAACAGGCAGTAATCATATTCCGGATATACGAGAATATACCCCAAAACCCTAATAAGCCCCAAAACCTGAACCCTGAACCCTATCAAATTCTAAGACTAACGCCCCCCCCACATTAGGCACGGTGATCGAGCAAGACCTGACCTTGGACTGGCGATCGCAGTTCAACGTCGTGTGCGCGCTTCTGGGCGCTAACCTTCGCCCGTTTCGGTTCAGGAGTTGGGATTTAGGTTTATAAGGTTCATTATCGGGTTTAGGGTTTTAGGGTCTTGGGGTTTAGGGGTCAGTGTAAGTAAGGGTTCAGGGTTTAGGGTTTAGGACCAGGATGGAGGTTCGGGTTTAGGAAGCCTCGTCACGGCTTGTATGCAGCCCCCGACAGGAGGTTCCTCGAAAGCAGGCCTCCAGAGGTGCACAGATCAAGCCTTTTCACGGGGACCGAGCATAGTCAGTATACTACAGTACGTTTTATAACACATGATAGTATATATTGTCTATGGGGAAAAGGAGGGACCCTTAATAAGGACCCCTAGGTATATACCCTTAATATAGCTATTATATACTCATGATATAGCCCAGTATAGAGTAGGGTCCCCATTAAGGGTCCCTCCTTTTCCCCATTGAGATTGTAGTCGGTTTAGTATATTCGCTCCAGGCCGGGCCTTCAAGGTTCAGGGATACATATTAGAAGGGGCCCCCACCCTATAATAGCGGTATAATAGGAATATACTAGGGCCCTAATATAATCCCCAGAGTCACTATTACAGGGTGGGGGCAGCTTCTAAGATAAGATTTCTACGCTTTTTGCAGTTTGGGCCTTTGTTCAGGAAGTTCTCATACCCAAGGCATGTGGGAGTTTTCGAACATAGGGGACCCTAATATAATACCCTCTAAATAGTAGGATCCTTACTATAAGGACCCCAAAAGAATGTACCCCTAATTTTTGGAAACTGCCATGTAAACATCGGGGAATGTTCGGGTATCCAGGGAAGTGCTGCAGATGTTGAGACACTTCTTCGTGATTGCTGCAAAAAAGGGCAGACTCGGTAAAGAAATGTGCGCAAAAGCCCTAGCAGCTGCAGCCAACCCACCAAACAACCAACCAAGCGACCGACCGATCGACTATCCGACCAACCAGAATAACCGACGAGCCTACCAACCAAGTAAACAATCAAGACAGACAGACAGACAGACAGACAGAGACATACAGATGGACAGACGGACAGACAGACAGACAGACCAAGACCCAAAGGCACACAGAGACCCGCACACACACAGACACACACAGACACGGACATGTTGGACGTCTCCTTCGGAACCTTTGAGTGAGTGGGTGCATGAGCCATTGCTATTACTTTCAGTAATATTGTCATTATTGCTATTGATAAGGCCAGTGGCCACTTACACGCAGTGTGTACAAGGCCGAAGGCCTTGTACACACCCGAGCATAATGGGCCGAAGGCCCATTATGCGGGTCAGAATGGCCGAAGGCCATTCTGACTGTGAGTGCAATGGGCCGAAGGCCCATTGCACGAACCCAGGCAGCAGCGGAGCTGCTGCCTTAATAAACATAATACTAGAGTACGGCCTACTGGCCTTATACCCCTCCAATGGCCCTTCGGGCCATTGTCGAGGGTGCCGAAGGCCTATTCCTATTGCTAGTACTGTTACGAATACCATCTAGTACCGTTATGATTACCGTTGCTATTGCTATTGCCTGCAAAACCCTGGGGCGCTTATCTCGCGGCCAGCCCAAATTGCTGTTGAGCTCGAAAAGAATCGCAGAGCCCTTTCAGGGCAAGAAGTGCTCTTAACATTTATAACAGTGCTGAAAGTTAGAAGAACGACCAGTCAATGCCCAAACTCACCATTGTGATGCTTTCTGCTTTTCCGAGGCAGTATACATGTTCTGGTTTACGGGCATACTGAGGCATACTGAAGACCACATGTACAGCAGTAAATGATGCATCCACAACAATGAAACGATGAAATTTGTTACGCCGGAACCCATGTCACTAAAACAGGTATGTACAAACCTTTTCATTGTCGTGGATGCTGACCTTAAGGGCCCTGGATTATGAACTTCCCCCGAATAGACCACACCCCCCCCTTCATAATAGATTCTGAAAGATGTACTATGACATCCTCTATTGGCCATAGTCCTTGTTAAGGGCGTGGGGTGACTTTTAAGAATTATACTTATGTCTATTACTAGTACTGTTGCTTTTCTTAGTGATATTATTATCACTACTAGTACTGCTACTGTCGCTACTGTTACTGTTGCCCGCACTGTTACTAGCACTAATACTAGTACTACTACCAGTATAAATGTTATTACTATAATTGCGATTACCATGCTACCATTATTAGTACTATTATCTGTGTTATGGCAAATGCTATAACTACTACTGTTTCTATTATTAATGTTACTACTATGATTAAGATTGCTATTACTATTACTTCTCTTACTATTACTATTACGATTTTTGCTTCTGTTGCTATTACCATTATTCTTACTTATACTATGGCTATGATTATGACCATGGGTATTGTTATTACTTTTTTCTACTCGCTATGATTGGTATGGCCATTGCTGTTATTACAAGAGTTAGTATTCGTTTATTCTTACTATTGTTATTCTTATTACCACTATTACTATCACTATCATTAGTATTATTTCTATTACTATTATACCACCAGTTATATAACTACTCCTACTCGAATTACTATTACTATTATTATTACTGTTGCTTGTACTGTTATATTTCTATTGCTATTATTGTCACTGTTGCTATTTTTACTTTCATCATGATTTCTATTCATACTTCTATTAGTATTAGTGCTATTATTACTAGTAGTATTTTTGCTGTCATCACTAGTATCACTACTGTTATTACCATGGCTATCACAAACACTATGGATGTTCTTATTATGCTTTACTATGTGCTATGATTGCTATTGCTATTGCCATCTACGGTGTCAATGCGAGACACACAGACACACACAGAGACACAGAGAGACACAGACACAAACACACGCAAACACACGAGACGCGCAGACGCACAACAACAGATGCACACACCCACACCCAAACAAACCAAGCATCCTGAAGCCGCACACCCTGAACCATAAACTTTAAACACCAAGGGCGCGAGTTTGAGGTTGGGCGGGCTCCGGGTTCTAAACCGCCCTGTGCAACAATTAGTTTCCTGGTCCCAGGCTACTGCTCTGCTTTCTTTGGGGCAGCGCCTTTGTCACAGGTCCCTCACCGTCTTAGTAGCTGAGTGGATGCACTTCACACTTTTTGGGATAATATCACCCACTGTAAAACTAAAAATACACTTGGGGCTTCTGAACTCAGCAACTAAGCCGTCAGTTTGGGGGATGCGGTTTGATGGAAAGGTTTTGGGCTCCAAACCGTGAGCTTGTCGGGATTTCAATGTGCTGCCGCTTTCTCCATACCCTTTCAGAAATCATGTGGAGATGGACATAGCGGGAGGTCGGCTGCGCCAGGCTGCGAGAGCATTTTGAGGTGTAGGGGTTGCTTTGTGGTTTAAGCCGGCCCTAAACCCTAAACCCCTAAAACCTAAACCATTTCAGCCGTTTGAGCCAAGCATTTTAGGACTCTGATGGGTGCCTGGGGATTCAACGCTTGGCCCCTAGTTCAGCGGTGGGAGTAACGCAGGAGTGAAGAGCTTGAAACAAGCCCTACTAGTAGAGTAGTTAAGATACGGTTAAATCATACTATAATATACCATAATCTACCTTAATATAGTAGTAGTAGAGTAGGTAACCTTTAACCTTTTTTGGGTAGCATAGTCCCGTTATAATCCCTATATACCAAAAGGTTAACCTTTAGTTCCCCATGATACCCGACAGGAAGCCGAGGCCATTAGGTCTGGGCTCTTCCACTGATGTGGGCTTGAGGCTGGATTTAGGGTCTATGTGCGTCCGTGTCTCTTCCGAAATTTTCGCGAGTCGCGACCCTACATACACCGTGAACTCCAAATTCTGCGTGAACCTACAAACACTATGTCGAAGGAAACATGGTACAATATGCTACAGTATACTTACGACACAATGCCAGGCTGACTGACTACTACACTGTACCATACGATCCAAAACCCTCAGCCTAAACGCCTAGAGCCTAAATCCTGAACCCTCAGTCCCGAAAGCCACTCTTAGGTATGCCCGAGATCTCGGAACCGGAAACCAGGACTCTCCACCTTTGTTGTCGCTCACGTCGCCAGCCGCTGGTATGCGAGAGGCAGGCAGAACCGCTGAAGGTTTCGTTTCAGGTGTTTAGGGTTTAGGGTTTAGATTGAAAGAGAGTTGGAGCGTCTGATCAATCCTATGTTTCGGAGACTACATGGAGAAAAGTTTACAATAAGGCACAGCAAAAGGTTTGTGTAACAACGCTTTGCAAGGTGCCCAAAGATTGCTCGCATCGTAGCAATCTCGAAGCGGGGCAAAGTTTCAAGTCCAGTCTCAAGCTTTGCGAAACCTTGACAGCCAATATGGCAAGTGTTGCGGCTGCGAACAGCCCAGTGCAAAGTTTACAAAGGCTCCGTTCTCGATCGAACGAGAGCTTTATCACCACACGACCCGCGCCCTGAAACCTAACCTCGAGCCAAAATCCCAACACCTCCAGACCTACCCTAAACGCTAAACCCTAAACCCTATACCTAAAACCCTCAAGGCCCTGAACCCGAAACCCATCAACCCTGAACCCCTAAACCGCTTGTGAGGCCCACTGGCTAGCAGCGAGTCGCCAGTCCAGGCACTGCTGGTTGGGCTGCGCTACCACGCAGGACCTACCATTTGGGGTTTAGGGTTTGGGGTTTGGGGGTTAGGGGTTAGGGTTTGGAGAGCTTTTCTGCTTGCGAGCTCAGGCGGATCTCGTGCTTTGGGGCTCTGTGATTTGGGGTGAGGGCTTCTGAGGCCTACTGTACGATTTTGGGTGCTTTGCAGCATCATTCACGTCTGGGCCATGGATCGTAGAACTTGCTGTGGAGGCTTTGCACCCTAAACCCAAAACCTTAAACCCCTAAACCCTTAAACCCCTACACCCTAAGCCCTAAACCGGGGCGGGGCAGGGAAACGTGGCTTTGAACTCAGTGCCTTGCAGTTGGTTTAGGGTTTAGGGGTTTGGGGTTCAGGGTTTAGATATCCCGGCTGGCAAGAAAGACATGTCAGTGGGTTTTAGGTCTTGGGGCAGAGAGCGCTGCATCGTTCACGCAATTATCCCCATTGTTTCAGGGAGAACAGGAAGCCTCGCACTACCCATGAGACAGGAATTAGTATAAAATAGTTTAGAACTGTATGGTCCAGTCTGTTATTATGGGTATATCATGGCGGATGAAGCTATATTAACGTGTGAGCTGGTGGGCTCCGACAGAAAGCTTTGTAAAGGCTTTATTTTTCTGTTCCTGTTTAAACCGTCCGTGAGAGCCCTACCCTAAACCTTGAACCCTAAACCCTGAACCCTAAACCCTAAACTGTTCTTTGGAGGCAGCATAGCTCTTGGATCTTTGTTGCTGGATACCTGGCTGCAACCAATCGTACATCGACACACCAGGGTTGCCCATCTTCCATTCCGAGTCATGAACCCGAAACGGTTTAGGGTTTAGGGGCCTAGGGTTTAGGGTTTAATGTAGGGGCGGGCATAATCGAGATTAGTATCCTCTTGCAGTTCTGACTTTACCCCCAATTTGTTTTCGGTGTGGGAGGTTCAGGCGGCGTGAGGTTGTGGGCTGATTCGACCCTCTCGAACGGAAGCCTACTAGGATGCCCGGTAGTACCCTTATTCCCTTTTTGTAGTCCTAGGTTCCTTATAAAGCTACCCAATACCAAAAAGAGAGGCCTTTTTATTCTTAGGTTACTGGGTATCCTAGCTTAAATTTAAACCCTGAACTGGAATCCAATGGTTAAGGCCCCAGATCATAGCATTCGGCATCGATCTCGATCTCGCAAAGTCCCTGCCAGGACACGGTGTAAACCCTGGGAAGCCTTAAACCCTACGCCCTAAACCCTAAACCCTAAGCCCCTAAACCCTAAGCCCCAAAACCCTAAACCCTAAACCCTACTCCCCAAGCCCTAGACCTGGCCTAGACCCGAAACGCGAAACCCTAAACCTTTACCCGTGCTCGCAGATACGGAACGAACCCTTACCGCAAGCCTGGGCTCCTAAACCTTACACGCCAAGCCGTGACCTTAAACCCTGTTATCATAGGGGCCTAAATGGGTAGTTGTCAAAATTAAGGTCCCTTCTTGGGTACCCTAAGTATTAGGTGCCGTATTATTATAAGGACCCAAAAAGGGACCATAATTTTGACCACCACCCAAATAGTTACCAATACTGTCTTAAAAATTCCGTATTATAACTAGCATAATGGGCCCCGGGCCCTTTGTTACCACCTAAACCGGCGTCGGCTTCTGCAAAGGCCTTCGTGCGTTTGTTGAACATCCTGCTCTGGTGGGCCGAAAAGGCCCCAGCTCACTTGTTTAGGATCCTATACGGAGTTTCTATTAGGTTCATTGTAAGGTGTTTAGGATTCCATACGGGGTTTCTACTGTAAGACTGTAAGGTGTTTAGGACTCTATGCGTGGTTTTTACTAGGGTCAGTATCAGGCTTACTTCACGAGGGAGCTGCAAGCGTTACTCTTCCCCTAGGTTTTGGGACGCAGAGGTTAGCTCTTGTACCATTGTAGAAATCTCGAGCAAACCTCCAGATGTCTCGCAAAGTAAATCTGGTTCGATCATGGATGTAACACCAGACAGTGAAGAAAGTTCCAGCAACCCCCTCCCTGAAGTTCCCCCCGAGCCGTGCTTATAGCGATGCCCCGAAAGCTTCGCATCTGAGGTGCAGAACTTCCACAGAGTCCCAAACCCCAGAGAGCCCAATACCCCTTAGTGAAGGAATATAGCTCAAATCAGAATATGAATCTCCTTCTATATTCCCTAATTAAAGGGTGTTGGGCTCTCTGGGACTAACAGTTAGATTGCAGCCTGAAGCCCAGTTCCCGAGACCCTAAACCTTCCGTCAACTCGGTAGTTCCGCCCTAAAGCCTCCTTTCTAGCATCACTGACTATAATAATTACCTACACTATTTTGGGGGTTCCTTGTTATAACTCTACTATGATGGGCCCCAGCTATCGAGATGCCCAGTCCCGGGAACAGAAACTTGCAAATTTCACAGGTTTCGAAGTTGGAAGCCCGCCTCAAGGCCTATGTCCTAAACCCTAAAACCCTAAACCCTAAAACCCTGAAGACCTAGACCCTAAACCCCTAAACCCTTAAACCCCTAAACCCTAAACCCTAAACCCTTAAACCCTAAAACCCAAGATGGGGGAAGCCCTACAAAGGCGCAGGACGAGGTCGTCCAGCAGGCCGTCCCGGGTGGACCGAGGCGTCGGCAAAGGCCTGCTGTTCTGATGATACGGTTTATGGTTTAGATCCAGCATTACCCATAATAAGGGGTATAGCATAATTCCCACAGTATAGGGTATTAGGGTAATGCAGGGTTTATATCAGCAACTGTAGCTGCTCACCCAAAGGGTCCAAGTACTGCCTACGGAGTAGCTACTAAATGGTACTTGGACTCTTTGGGTCAAAATAGTTGTTTCGGGTTTAGCCTAAACCCTAAAACCCTGAAGACCTAAACCCTGAACCCCTAAACCCTTAAACCCCTAAACCCAAAACCCGTGTTGTGATTTTGGTGCGGAGTGTGCCTTTTGGGAGTTGGTAACTACAGCGAAATTTAGGTGGATTATTGTGCTTTGGGGCAGACTGCTTGACAGGGGGGAACTACTGGCGGCGCGTGGTCTCCATCTGACGCGACATGCTCCCGAAAGTAGCAAAACGTAGACGGCGGACGGTGCCTTCCTGGGCGAGTCGCCTGGAAACCTCACCCGCCCACTGAGGGTGGCATTGGCGGTGAACGCCGGAAAATTCTACAGACCCCTAAAGACCGTAAAGACTGCCAGTAACGGTCTTCACGACCCTTACGACTTTAAGGACGTAAAAGTTTTGAAACCTGTATTCAATAATCCTTGAAGACCTTGGCCTAAAAACCTTGAACACCTACCCAACCCTAAAGACTTTAAGACCATAAAAACCATTAAACACCCTAAACGTGCTAAAGACCTTTAACATCTTAAGCCCGAAATTGATATTTGAGGCACCGGAGAATTGAAGGTTGAAAGAGAAACCCCGGTGTGAGCGAGCGTTCCGCCTCTGAACGAACAGAAACTTTGAAGTCCTAAAGCCCCAAAGAACGCCGTATGCCCGGTAGAACGAGACATGGAGATTGAGGTTGGGATAGTGATACCGACACAAAGAAAACGATACTGATAATCAATTTCGATGCAGATAGACATAGACAGGCAGAGACTCTGACATATACACACATGCACAGAGACAGAGACGAGCGACAGAGAGGGAGCGTTAGCATTGTTGTTACAGGGCCGCTCAGTTTGTGTTTGGTCGGTTGTTCGTGTAAGGTAGGGTTGTAGCTGCAACGTACGCATTCGAAGTGCTAGCCATTTCAACCATACACCCCAGACACCGAAAAAAGTCTCCTACACCCGATTCCGCAGGCCCCCAGCCAATGTGCATGTATGGGAAGGCCTCCGAGCTGTATGCGATCATTCCGAAACTTCGCCGCTGAGATCCTGGAGGTTGGGCTTTCCATTAGTTTCATTAGTCATTAGTAGTTAGTAGAGCTTCTAGGGCTGTTAGTTTAGGGTTTGGGTCTAGGAATCAATGCTTGGGAACGAAGGCTCATGGCCCGACTTACCAAGACCGTGTTCTGTGAGACCGGGGACCCGTCGCGGCTCGGCGCGGAACCGGAGCACCCGTGCACATAAATCCTAGGTCTGATATTTTTTTTCCTCTGGTCACTGCGACCCGAGTCAAACTGGCAGCCCAACCAAAATGAAGTGTGCAGGGCAATGGTTAATTTGTAGGCTTAGATAGCCTTTTCGGTGATATAGCCTTTCCCGACTCCATCCTTGGGCAAATCTTACAAGAACTGCTGAAGCTCCCTAAGCCCTAAACCAGCATGGGAGGCCGTGGCCACTTGGGCCTCAAAGCAGGCCTTCGTGCAAGTTGCCATCAGCCGCCCGGCTTGATTGGGCGGTGTCGGATTAATATATACGTAGGGGCCTTGTAATGATTAGCTATAAGATTCCTTTGAGGGGTCCTTCAAAGGGTTCTATAGGGGATCTATAGTAGGGTTCGATGACATGGGGGCCTTATAATGATTAGCTATCCTTTTTTTGGGGGTTCGATTTCTAGGTCTAGTATAATGGAGCCCAAAACCCCATTGGAATTATTAAGGCCCCCGTGTGCCCCGACTGTTGTTGAAAACAGCGGGATCCCTTCTATGAGCCCTGATTAATAGGGCTCTGATGCTAAAGAAACTTGAGAACGTTCGTGAGTGAAGCCATGGAAGGTATGCACAGCAAGTACAGTCTATCAGGTAGTCTGAAACAACAACGGAAATGGTTTTCGGCTCGAAGGCCCGGTGCTGCTAAGAGCTTTTTGTGTTTTTACATTAATTTGAGATTTGGTGATCCCGGTGTTTGACCTGTGGCATGCGGGCTGTGAGTTCAACTAGGGCCTTGCGCCTTATGGCGACAAGGCGAGAAGCCCAAACACCTAAATCCTAGTTGAAACGATTCAAACCACACCCCGAAAAACCCAACTGAAGCCCGAAATCCTGAGGCCGTTCAAACCCTATTAATCTCAGCCTACACCCCAGCGAAAGGGATTCAATCCAGGCGGCTGCGGCTTCGTGCCTGGTGCTACCAAGGCACAGGGCCTTGCTTAGGGTTTCAGGCTTACTTAAAGGATCTTTTGGGGTTTCTTAAAGGGATCTATGGGGTTTAGGGTTTAGGTTCTACTTAGGGTTCCTAAAAAGGGATCTATAAGGGCTCTATAAGAGGGGGTTTCAGGCTTACTTAAAGGATCATGGGACACAGTAACTAGGGTTCTAATTAGGGTAGCTATAGTTACTCAGTCCCATGATCCTCCAAGAAAAGGGTTTAGGATGGTTTAGGGTTTAGGGACTACGATTACGGCTTGGGCTTCGAGTTGTCCTGCTCTTCTGCGTCTTTTTGGGGCACTGAGGCTTTTCAGGTCTCGGGTCGGGCAAGCGCCCCTGTGATCTACACTACTCAAAGGGGAAAAGGAGGGACCTTCAATGGGGACCCCTACCCTATAATGGGGCTATATACTGGGTATATAATAGCTATATTAAGGGTATATGCCTAGGGGTCCTTGTTAAGGGTCCCTGCTTTTACCCTTGGAACTACACCTCCGTCCTGAGTCCCAGAAGCCTCAAATCTTTCAGCACTTAAGCGCGTACATCGTACGCTCTAAGCAGACGCCCGGGACCCTGAAAAAAAAGTACCCTTTAATTGTAGGGTCCTTATTATATCAGGACCCCAAAATAAGGTACCTGCATTGGGGTTCCGCGACGTCTGGCCGACCTGGCGACTGTCCAGGGTTGGACGGTCGAGCCCCAAAAAGTACTCATGCCATAGGGTTTAGGGTTCAGAGTTTTGGGTTTGGAATTTAGTGTAATGTAGGTGGTGATAGCACCAAAGCGAATAACGAGGGTATAGCCCCTAGAGTCGTAGGTTTGGGTATAGGGTTTAGGAATGGTTCCGAGTCGAAAACGATTTTTCAGATTTGCACGCCTTTGAGGTTGATTAGGCTGGGTAAGTCAGATCCTGTTTGGGTCCAAAAGTCCCCACCGACTTCAAGAAGAACAAAAGTTATAGGGGTGGGAATCATTTGTAACTTTTTTTACCCCCTAGAATCCGTGCATAAGTACACACTATCGTATAATATAATAACTACTTTGAGACTCTATTCTCATCATTGGGTTTGCCCGTACATCAAAATACTGTCTAGTGGAACGCGGCACGAAAGCTCATTGTCATTACGGGCTGATGGACTTCAGAACCGACGGTCGGGTAGGGCCCCAAACGGTCCCAAAATTATGCGTTTCAGGGTTTAGGGATTCAGGGCTTTAAGATCATGGGATTTCTTGCTAAACCCTGAACCATAAACTACTATTTGCTTAAGAGCCCCCCAAAATACAAAACATGTTCCTTATGGGGGTGGTAATATAGGGATTATTATTTTTATTTTTGGGGGGTTTCTTAAGCAAATAGTAGTTAAACCCTAAACCCCGGGAGCGCCTTTGTGCCTCACTAGGCAGCAAGGCTCTCTGCCTCTGCCCCACTCGGCTTCCTCGTGGTCGAGGCCAAGTTTGGGGCTTTGCCTGGGGCCCAGGGTTCGACTTAGGGGTACTTAGAAATAATGTTTAATTTTTGGTTATTATTATAATAACCAAAAATTAAACATTATTTCTAAGTTCAGTATATAATATAATCCCTAAGAAACAGCTAAAATTCTAAATTTTGTTAGGGTTCTAAGTTCAGTATAGCGGAGATGTTGGGTATACATCGGGGCTTTAATAATTAGCATAGGGGTTGGGGGCATACGATACTATACTTTATAACTACGAACCACCGAAAAACTATTCTAACTAATAAGCCCCCCACATTAAGTATAATATTATTGTTATTTCTACTTGTTCGTTGTACTTGTTATGCACATTTTCATTCTTATCCTCATTGATTCTTAGTCGCTAGTCCTCTCCCGACTCAAAAATGGAAGGCTTTGTGTTACCTGGTCCGGGCCTGTCCTTCCTGTTTTTTACTTCAGTTCAGGCATGGGTTCGGATCAATTATACTTCAAAGGATCATGGGACTTAGTAACTAGGGTTATAATTAGGGTAGCTATACTTATAACCGCAACTAAGGTACTTATCACCCTACTTACTAAGTCCCATGATCCTCCAAGCAGGGTCCTGAAGGGAGGGTGGTTCAAGGCGGGAGGGTAGAAGGGAACTAGAGAGAACTAGGGATTAGTAGGCTGTCTACCCCCCTTGGAGCCCCCTCCCATAAGGATACTGGAACTCAAAGTTCAAGTCTCAAGAGCTCCGGCCGCTCAAGAGGTACGGGGGCACATGGTTCAGGGTTCAGAGGTTCAGAGTTTAGGGGTTCAGGGGTTTAGGGGTTTAGGAGTTTGAGGTTGAGATTCATCCTTTTGTGAAGATATTCAGAAGTTCAAGCAAGCTGATGCGGTGTCGCGCCTGGTACCGGAGCTCGTGGAACTTTTGGGTCAGGCTTGAGAGGGTTCTTTAGAAATAATGGGGAAGCACAGCTGGTTGGTTTGCCAAACCTACAGACAAGAAACAGAGCCGTCGCAACTAATTCAGGTTTGGCGTGCTTACGTTTTGGATGTATCCTTGTGGCAAGATTGGGGAGTGCTTCTGCTGAAGCCCCAGAAGAGTGAAGCTTTCAAAACCCTGATTCTCCGAATCCGGGACCCTGCATCCAGCGCCTCTTTTGCAGGGCCTGGCGAATGCCTTCCACCGTACCTCGGCAGATTTTGAGCAGCGGAAGGTTCGACTTTGGGCTGCGTAGCCTTGAGAGCAGCACTATACTGATATCGATTTGGGATAAATTTGAGAATCCACTGTTGTTGAATATAGCCCTAACTGCATATATTTTTTGGGGCTGTGGAAATCCACACCTAGCAAAGTGCAAAATCCACGCACATGTTTTGCGGACTTGAGGCACCACAGGACCCGATAAAGGGCACTTGTCAAATGCCGAAACTGTTGAACATCCCTCCGCCGTCTCATAGGCCATCTTCTCCTTGCCGTGCAATCTATGCAGCAGAAAGTAGCATTGACGTAAATTGGGATTTACGGGCCTTTGGGTTTCTTTAGGGTTTAGGCTCCGTGGTGTAGGCTTCAGGGTTCCTCGGAATTCGACATGCTGCGATATAGCTTAATACCCTCCGTGCCCAAACCCATCCCTCTTTCCTGGCCGCTTGTCTGGCCAGTTGGAACAGAAATTCATGGGACATCATCTCACTGCAACATCAGCCCTTTGGCAGAACTGCAGGAATTTGTGAGCTCTTTCTCATCGGCTTAGCCGTGGTCATCGCTTCGGCCTGGGGCGTCGTGGCTGGCAATGCAGCTCCTGGCTTTGAGGGGGGCCTAGGACCTAGGACATCGTGATGAGCCTCATGGTCAAGCGCTATATGGGCCGTGTCAATGTTCTCACGGGGTAATAGGGCCTCTTCAGAGGAGGGCATAGGATGGACAAGGGTTTTTTGGATCACAGCTCCGCCCCTTGAAGCCTCTACATCGGTAAGCACCAAACCCGAGCTTAAAGCCTCAGACATACCCTGCGGCGTAAGCTTACCCTCAAACCCATAACAACCCTGAACTGTTATTGTGATACTGTTACTGAGCATTAATTAAGCGACCAAAAACTACAGCACCCTATAAGCTTTTGTTCATTGCACTGGGTATGCTTATTCGACATGCAGCAGAGCTTGTGATTAAGACTTGTATGGCCTATGTTAAGCCTGAAGTTTTAAACTGTTAAAACCCAAAACCCTCAGCCCTAAACCCTAAACCCCGCAAGCTCTAAACCTTACAAACCCTACAAACCCTAAGCCTAAAATCGCAAAAGCAACCCGAAGCCGTTTCAACCCACCTCCGAGGTTGCGAGGGCTTCAAGGAGCTGTTGCCGCCCGCAGCCGCCGCCTGGCTGGCTGCCGAGTCCTTGCTCCACCCCTACAGCGCCTCTGGCTTCATAGAGGGGCCGTACATTATGATTAGAATAGGTTTCCTTTATCTATGGTAGGGTTTCTATGATATTGGGGCCTTCATGATTAGAATAGGGATTGTACTATACTATTCTTATAACAAGGAACCCTAAACCCTGCAGTGCCTCTGGCATAGGGGCTTGAAGGCTTTTGGGTTCAGCGCTTCTCCGGCTTCGGGGCAATAAGGGGTCTACAAAGATCCGGACGGGTTCCACCAGCGTCTAAGCTAGGGTTGCTTTGGGACATCTCTCGGGTCTGATCGGGTTTAGGGTACCCTAAACCCTAAACCCTAAACCCTGCATAGGCGGTGGGGCATTGGCTTGCCTGTCCAATGGCACCCCTGAGGAGATGGTGGTCTGGGGCACCTACTACGCCATGTCCAGGGATTTTGAGGTCTACACTGGCATGTCGACCGCTGGGATGAAGGAGGCCTTGGTGGGTCTCTTCTACGGCTGGGACGTGGCGGCCGGCGCAAGCATGGCCACGGTCCTGAACCTCAAGGCCCCTGGCAGCAAGGCCTCGCAATATCCAGCGCTTGAATTCTGGGCAGACCTCACCAGGGGCAAGGGCACCCTCGCTCAGTTCGCCAGGGTCATCATACAGACCCAGGAATGCTATGGCTTCGAGGAGATTCCTGAGATGGAGGACGTCCACGATGACGAGGAGATACTCCACGGCTTCGGTGGCGAGACAGAGTTCGAGGAGGAGTACGATCCTGGCAGGCTGGGGCTCCTGAAGATAACGGGCAAGATGCTGGACTCGAAGGCCAATCGCGTCATACTCGAAGCCATCGCCAACGAGCACTTCGAGCCTTACGAGAACGAGGACTTCCTCTACTCAGAGGAAGCCGCGGCCTGGGATGCAGTCCTTGACGATGCCATAGCGCAGAGCATTGAGGCCTCCGACGTGATCAGCCCCCAGTTTCTCACCGGCCTCCATAGGCTGAAGGCGTCTAGCAGCCTAGCATAGGCAACACTTTCAGAAACGCCAGGATAAGGCTCAAGTCAAACCTGATACTTGGCAAGCCCTCTGACGTTGCCACCATGCAGAGGAATGTAGAAAAGTCGCTGATCGAGCAGCTGCTGCATCTCCACAAGTGCTACTCAGACGGGGAGGAGTACTATGAGAACCTGGGGCACATCACCTTCGATTCAGATGGGCGGAGCTAAGAGGAACGTGGCGGGGATGGAGAAGAGCGAGGAGGAGCTATACTTCCCCTACCCGGGGTTCCTGCATGTGAAGAAGATCGCCAGCATTGAGGTCCCGGTCCACGGGAGCATCCTCTGGTACCCGAAGCTGGACCCCTCTTACGACACGGGCCGCAACATCTCCATGGGCTCCGAGAAGCCGGCTACGGTTAGAAAGTACCCCACTTCGAACACCTTCAAGGACGTCTGGGAGGACCGAGTGGTGGACGCGATCAACCTCTGCAGCTCCATGGAGACGGCAGCACGTCTCCTCCATATTATTATGCACGGCCTCCAAGATCTCTCTGAAGGAGGTCACAAAGATGCTATCTGAAAGGGAGGATCCGATGGACAGAGCAGATTCCCGCGCTGTGAAGTTCACGGTCTCCAATATGTGGGGCGGTTGCATAGCGAAGATGTGCCAGCTCAGGCTTGACTTCGCCGAAGGAGGCTGCAAGGAGTGGTGCACGAACACTGGCCTGAACGTAGACTACGGCAACGCAGTGGGGGATGTCATCACAAGGCTGCTCAGGAAGATCAGACAGGAGGACCCTCGCGCGATGATCATAGACGTCAGTAAGTATCTCAAGGAGGACTCGTACCCAGTCAACATATCGACAAGGGCGCACACCCCGATAGTGGACCTGGACATGATGCTCCCTTCCTACCCTCAGAGAGATGCCACTTCTGACTGGGCCCAAGAGCTGCTGGTGAGTGGCGTGTCGGGCAAGATATCTGTAGATGTGGCCGAGGCGCCGGCCATTGCTGCGAACCTCCCCAAGGTCCGGGTCATGATTTTGTGCGCTTTTGCGTTTGGCCGGAACAAGGACGACCCCCTCCGCGCTTACCACCGATACAGACACCTGAGGGCCTATGCTTCTTCTAAGTTCAACTCTCGTCTCTTCGAGGTCACTGGTGACGTTCTTGTGCTCTTCATCAAAGAGCGCGAGAATATGGACACCTATGCGCTGGGGAAAAGCTTCTGGGAAGAAGACGGGAGTAAAGGCTGGATTTACCTCTACGGAGTTTTGAGAGACATCCGGGCCGGCGACAGAGAGAGGAACACCTTGAAGGAGTACTGCCAGCTGAGCTCGATGATGGTGCCGGTGCCACTTGGCTCAAGAGCTTCTCCCTCGTCTCCTACGGCAGGCTGATGAAGACCTACCACGAGGCCAAGCTCTCTGCTTGCTATCTTGTCATGATGGCAGACTACCCGGAGAAGGCAGCGGAGGTAGATCTCCTTCTGGAATGCCTTGAAAAGCTCAGGGCGTCAGGCGTGAATGTCGAGGAGGCTTGCCTCAAGGACGTAGACCTCGACGAGATTCTCAGGAACTTCTGCCCCAAGAGGGAGAAGTTCATCGCCTACATGGAAAGTCGGGAGGAGTCTACCCTTGACTTGCTCGGTGTTGGTTCTATGATGGCGACAACGGCGGAAAGGGTTACAACCAATATGAGGGGTCCGGTGACAGACGAAGATCGATCAGAACATGACGTGAAGGAGTGAGGGTCAGGGCAGTGGCTGGGCAACGAAGTTGTCCATATCTCCTGGTCTACTAGGCCTTGATGTTTGTGACCCGGGAGCAGGCATCAAAAAGGAGCTCAACAAAAAATACCTAAACCCTAAACCCTAAACCCCTGAACCCTAAACCGTCCCGGCTGGTTCCGGCTGGGCTTCAGGGCTTCCAGGGTGTAGAATCAATCTCTCGGTGTGTAGGATGTTTCAGTTGGGAGTTTCGGGTTTCAGGTTTTTGGTTTCTGTTTTTCGCTGATTTTTTCAGTGTCTTTTGAGCTTCGGGTTGTTTGACTAAAAGTTGATATGGTGGATGATATAAATCCTGCACTGGCATGACGAGTACTCCTGAATCTGACCGCTAAGCTGATTACTCAACTACCCACGCTCGCATTCCCGTTTGGCAGCAAAAGAGCCAGCAAGCTGGAAAGTCCTGGAAGGCGTGGCCACGACGACCATCCTCCATTGCATCTTGATGGACACCCATACCAAGCAGGACCCGTTGGGCTCGGTTTTTGGGTGTAGGCGGTTTAGGGTTTAGGAGTTTAGGGTTTAGGGTCAGGTCTTCGGGATCGGGTTTGGAATGGTTTGGGATCCACATGGCAGTGATTAGAACCCCAACACCTTCGAGCATGCAATCTTTTGTGGTTCATGGAGCTCATGCTTGGAACGCTTTGTTCAGCAGCTGATTTCTGTTGGATTTCAATTCTGCAAGGCTCCGGACCTAGCCCGAAGGGTCCATGTACCCCAAAAGTACATATTGTGGGCCCAATGTACCTATATGGGGAGTACTTCAAGGCCAAAGTATATACTCTTTGGGTACATGGACCCTTTGGTTAGCTTCGAGGCCTATGGCATGACAGCTCGAACGCATGCCGGGCCTGCCAGGTCATGAAACCTTACCAGTATCACTCATAACCGTAGCACCCTAAAGCCCCACACCCGTGAGATCTTTGCAGAGTCTCCGCTTTCGGTCCTTAACCGAATTGAACTAAGGCCGAGCCAAGCCTCATTCATATCTGCTTGGGGTTTAGGGTTAGGGTTTGGGGTTGCCGAGCCCTTTCTTCTTACAATATTCTCCCCTACATTCCCTCGCGGTCTACTCGTAGCATGCTTCAGGAGCTCAGCCTTTCAAAGTGTTACAGTCGTCGCTTCCCATTGACGCGTGAACACTAAGTGTAAGGTTTAGGTGTTTGAGGGTTCGGGCTTTAGGGATTGGGTTCAAGCCTTTTTGTGACATTTTTGGGCGTGGAAGCCCTCCCTTTCCTCTGCTCCAAAGCCTAAAGCCCAAGCCTAAAGCTGTACGCTGCTAAAGGGAGCCCTTGGGCTTCTCCTCTAGAAAAAGCCCATGTGATGTGTCGTCCCGAAGTTTCCCACCGAACGACAAAGGAACTCCACGAGAACTATGAATCGAACTGGCGCAAACTTCCCCATGAAACCCTACGTACATATCGAGAGCCGAAGACCTTCGTGTTGAAGCAGAAGACACGCAAGTCCAAGGCCCAAACATCAAGTCCCAAACTCCTGAACTTTAATCCCGATGCCATAAACCCCTGATGCCCGCAAGAAACAAAAACACTCTGAACTCCAAAGACACACTAAAGCCTATATAGCCCTCAATGCTTTCCACCCCATCATGAAGCAAACGAGCCCCTCTAGCAACCCTTCCAGAACCCTGATCGTATATAACCCTTGTAGAGTATTATACTAACCAAATAGAACCCATATGGGTAGTTGTCAACTTTATGGTCCCTTTTGGTGCCGTATTATATTAAGGACCCAACAAGGACCATAATTTTGACAACCACCCATATGGCAACCGCAATAATGAACCTTGGTAGGGAAGTCGTTCACTTCAAAACGAAAACCCCAAACCCTAAACCCAATAATCAAGACTGACAAATATGGGAGTTTCCGAAAATTAAGGGTACCTTCTTTGGGGGTCCTTATAATAAGGATCCAATATTCTGGGTTCTATATTAGGGTCCCCTATTTTTGGAAGCCCCCAAATATTTATATAGCACTAGTAAGCTTTATAGAACCCCTTTTCGCCGTAGCGAAAAACCCTGACAGAGAAGCTTCATGCACCCTAAACCCTAAACCCCACGCCCTGAACCCAACAACAAAGCCTGATAAAGAAGCCTTATAAACCCTAAGCCCTAAACCCCCAAAAAGGAAAGCATTATCAAGAACCCTAGCAGCAAGCCTCCCCTATAACGTCTTACTAAACTTAATCGAACCCTTATCGCAATATGAGGCCTTGTAAAGAAGCCTGACAGTAGCCCTCCGCGTGAGGAGAATGATCGGGCCCCATCCGAAGCAAGCAGCCTAAGAGCAGTCATGGAGCAGTGGGACCGGGAGGAGGCCACTTCAGGGCGTGAATATAGGGGCCTTAAAGATTAAAATTGGGTTCCTTTAAAGGGGTCCTTTGGAAAGGGGTCTATAAGGGATCTATAGTAGGGTTCCGAAGATATAGGGGCCGTAATAATTAGAGTAGGGTTTTGGGACCCAGTATACTATGAACATAGCAAGGAACCCCCAAAATAGTATATTTGATCATGAAGGCCTCTATAGTACACCGGCCCTGCCGTTTTGAGTTGTGGGCTTGGGGATTTAAGTTTTCGGCAGTTTCGGGTTTCTGATTCTGGGTGTAGGCTTTAGGGTTGGAGTAGGGTGTAGGATAGGGTTTAAGGCTAGGGTTTAGATAGGGGGTTAGTGGGAATCAGGGTTTCCATCGGGACCTTCCAAGGTGCTTATATGGTCCTTCATAGCAGGAATTCTGGTATATTGCTTAGAGGATCATGGGACTTAGTAAGTGAGGTTATAAGTACCTTAATTGGGGTTACAAGTATAGTTACACTAATTATAAGCCTAGTTACTAAGTCCCATGATCCTTTACGTATGGGGGGTAGACGTTTCTGGGTTTAGGCCTTAGTGCGTCGGGATTTGGTCCAGGCTTGCGTTTTGGGGGTTTGAGAGTCCAAGTTAACATCACACCAACAGCATCCCGGGATATGTGCACTTTGTCGTCGGAAGCTGCGACGGTCGTTTTTCTATACTATTATAGGGACTTTTATTCAGTACCCATACTTTTTTTGGGGTTCCTCATTATAATTAGGGTATAATGGGCCCCAAAGTCCTACTCGAGTTATTGAGGCCCCCAAACGAGTTTTGTTGCGTAGGCTTAGGGGTTTAGGGTGTAACGCGTTAGTGGTTTAGGGTTCAGGTTAGGGGGTTGAGGGCCGGCTAGCCGCGAATGTTGAGCACACAAGGAAATCTTCATGCTGCTCCTGCTTGGAGGATCGTGGGACCTAGTAAGTAAGGTTATAAGTATCCTAATTGGGGTTCAAGTAGCTATAAGTATAGTTACCCTAATTATAACCCTAGTTACTAAGTCCCATGATCCTTTAAGTAAGACTACCGAATCAGCCCTAAACCCGGAACCAGGAAGCCATGGGGCGAAATCTTCCATCCCCTGAATGTCGAGCTCAGAGGGAAGAACCCTATGCCTAAGCTTCAATCCCAGGGTCAACATAGGGGCGTTAACGGTTAGACTAGGATTTTGGGGTATGTGTATATATATATATATATATGTATATATATATATATATATATGTATATACTGTACTTACAAAAAGGAACCCCCAGCATGATTATGCTAGCATCTGCGGAGGCTTTGTAGTGGCGAATTCCATCATAGACTCTACGCCCAGGACGACGGCTCATTCGCGCAGCATTATGCCTGAAGCCCGTGATTTAAGGGCTTCATCCCGATGTTTTTTTAACTCTGTTCAGGGGGTTGAACTCCGGCTTCAGGCCCTTTTGATCCAAAGGCTTTCGAGGTCGAACTTCTCGAACTCAATCTTTCGTCATCGAATTTCCTGAGGCGCAGGTTTGGAGAGCTTTCGATTGCAATCTTTGCGGGACGGAGGTTGAGTTCTGCAGGACGTGAGGAGTTTAGTGACATGACGCGCAGACCCTGCGGATGCAGATCGATTTCTGGACGGATCGTTTGTGCAGCATGAGAAAAGGTGTGGCTCCAAGTAATTACTGTGGCTCCTTCCAAATGGCCTAATGGGTTTTGCAGGGCTTTGCTTTGTCGGGGCTAGAATCTTCAGATTGGAGATGTGACCTTAAAATTCGTTTCGGGCATGAGCCAATTAAACATGTGCCGAGTGCTGCGATTAGGCCTTTGGGTTTTGAATTCGAGACGGTTAGCATTGTTTTTGATTTGTGGAATGAGTAGTTTAGGAATTCTGTGAGCGGCACTAAAAGGATCATGAGACTTAGTGACTAGGGTTATAATTGGGGTAACTAGACTTATAACCCCAATTAAGGTACTTCAAACCTAACTTACTAAGTCCCATGACCCTCCAAGCAGTGTTGCTAGTGCGGGCTGCCCGCACCGTGATTGAGGAGATGATTGAGGTCCGTGGCCGGACTCCTAAATCTCAATCTTACATCAAAGGGGGAAAGGAGGGACCCTTAATGGGCACCCCTACCCTATAATGGGCTATATAATGGGTATATAATAGCTATATTGAGGGTATATACCTAGGGGTCCTTATTAAGGGTCCCTCCTAAATCTCAATCTTACAGTGTGCACGAGGCCGCAAAGTTTGATGTTCGACCCCAGAACCCGGACTCCCAGGGGGGTAGATCCGAAATCCGGTGCCGAAAATGGTGTCGAACTTTCCATAGTTACATGACAGATGCTAGTATTCCATGATTCCATAGTATACAGACGCCCTACCAAGCCCCAACCGCACTTCATTGTCCTGTGTGGGAAACTGCAGTGCTCCAGTTCCCAGTAAGGAGTCTGCTCCGAGTTTCGAGGTTCACCCAGGACCCCCCAAATGTAAGAGAGCACTTATGGTCCTAAGCTGAGGGCTTTTATGGTAGAATAGAGCACGTAAGGGCTCCTGAATAGTGCACTTTGGGTCGAATGGAGCTCCTCTATTCCTTCATTATGTTCTGACAAATGACTGTTATATATATATATATGTATATATATATATCATATATTATGGCCTAACAAATGATTGTTATATTATTGTCTAGAGCTTTCCAAGATCTCAGTGGTGCTGGCTTTACACGCCTTCAAGCCAGGTGATGTGAATGAGAACGGCCGCCAGAGCTCCGCAGGTGCGTGCCCTCCTCTGCCGGGACCTGTTGACAGATCCTAGTTTGGTAGGTTCCCGTAGTAAGGATGTAGTAAGCTTATAGTAGAAGACGGAAAGTTCGAACATGAACACCCTTATGCCTTTAAGGTAAAGCATAGGGGATCCTAGCACCAATCCTCCTAAACCCATGTTCCAACTTTTTGGAGTTCGCTGCAGCTCGTGTCGAATGGCGAGTTCTGGGCTTGGACCGGATCCGAGCTTATTGAAGCCACTCGACAGTGCTGTGGTTTTGAGACCTTGCTATAGGGGCCTTAGTACTTACCGATACTATTGTGGGGGTTCCTTAGTATTATTATTAGAGTTAAAGTATAATGGGCCCCAAAACCCTCTTGTAAGTATTAAGGCCTTCATGTTCGACCATGGGCCTATCTGATCGCTTTCAGCCTTTGCTTGCGAACTTCGTGTAAAGTCGGCGTCTGGGTCTAGGTGACCTTGAAGGAATCTGAGTGCAAGGATTCAGCTCCAGCCTTTTCTGAAGGATCAGAGTTTTGGGTTGCTTGCGCGAGAAGCTTAGGTCAGGTGAGAGTTCATGATCAGTGCTACTGGTATTACCAAGGAAGCATGCCCTCCTTACGGTACCTATCTGCCTGTATCTATCCAGATCATGCGACGTATGCATGATTATGTGTATATATATAATACATATAATATAATATAATACAATATAATATATATATATATATATATATGCATACACGGAAATACATATGTACATATGTGTATATATGTCGTAGCCCGGTGCATCTTGGACCCCAGTTGTGAGACGCAAAACTGTGTCTGCTTCGCTCAGTGGCCCGGTGGTTTCAAGGTGCTGTGCTTGAAACCCCAAAGGTAACTTTCAATTTTTTGGGTGTTAGAAAGGGTCGCACAAATCAAAGGTTAACGGTTAACATCTAGTTCCCGTATGATATTGGACAGCTAGGAAATCTTAAATCATCAGACATCCTTCGCAATGGTGAGACCGAAGAGTCTGTCTGTCAGGACGACTTCCGTTGCACACTCGAGACATAGCTGAGGGAGCACGGCTTCGTACTACTGGGGTCTAAATTGTCAGGAATAGCTTGGCAGTATGCCCCAAACCAAAGTCTGACCATGGTTTAGGCCCCTATAAGGGTTTAGGGTCTTAGGGTTTAGGATCTGGGGTTTAGGGTTTAGGGACATTAGATTTCGCAATTGGACTAAAGCCTTGCAAGCACGATCCGGACTTCCGCATCCCGCTCCCTCCTGTGCCGAAGTGCCGGCACTCGCTGAGCCCTTGAGCTTCGGTTGCAACTTCCAAGCCCTAACGTAGGAAGCTGATTGCAAAACCCTGGTCCTATATACTATAACCCCTACTGTACTGCAATCCCAAATCTACTATAACCACAAATATGAGCATCCTTGTAGAGAATCCTAGTATAGACCCAAGGTTTTCCGTGGGTTGTTGACGCCTAGGATTTGAGGTTGAGGGCTCCAGGTGTAAGGCTTCGGGTGGAGGGTTCCAGGCTCAGATCGAACCCTGTTGTCTTTCGGGGATCTGCTGCACAGCGTACTTGGAGGATCCTGGGACTTAGTAAGTCAGGTTATAAGTACCTTAATTGCGGTTTTCAGTATGGTTACCTTAATTCTAACCCTAGTTACTAAGTCCCAAGATCCTTGCACACTGTACTTCGTGCGAGTTTCCGTTAGTTGTCGATGTGAGTGTAGCATCTAGACGCGACGGTCTGAAGCAATCCAAAGGCAAGCCGGTTGTCAATGGTCAATGGCCACGTGAAGTGATGCCAAACATAAATTTGTGTTTAATGGCTGCAGGCTCACAAGAGCCTCTACATGCATCCATGCATCCACTAATCCATCCATCCATCCATCATCATCCATCCATCCATTCATTTCATTTTATTTTCGTTTCATTGACGTTCCATTTCATTCTCATGTCATTCCATTTAGTTTTCATTCCGTTTCATTTCAATCAGTCAGTCACTCATTCTTTCGTTCAGCTTTTATGTTCCAGCCTCAATCATTCAATCAATCATTCACTCGCGCACGCACGGACGCACGCACGCACGCACGCAGGCACGCACTCAGGCACTCGGGCACTCACTCACGCACTCACTCACTCACTCACTAGAACAATCATTCGATCAATCCATAAATCCTTCATTGAACCAATCAATCGACCAACGACTCAACTAATCAACCGATCAATCAGCCAACCAACGAAGCAATCAAACAATCAACCAATGACTCATTCATTCAATCGGTCAACCAACGGACCGACCATAGAGTCACTCTCATTCATATACATATACATATACAAATATATATATATATATATATATACATGCATCTGTTTTCGTGTATATATATATATATATATAGAGAGAGAGAGAGAGAGAGAGAGAGATTTAGAGAGAGCAGTTAACTAGGTGACATGGCATTAAACTATCCTACAATGTATCATATTGTAGCCTTATACAAAGGACCCTGTGGTGTGGGTCGTTCTATGCCGAGGCATAGGATGAGCAGTGGAGCAGAGGCCCACCTGTGGGTTCAAGCTTGTACTTGGAGGATCATGGGACTTAGTAACTACTATTTGCTTAAGAGCCCCCAAGAAATAAAAGACATGTTCCTTATGGGGGGTAATATAGGGATTATTCTTTTTATTTTTTTGGGGTTTCTTAAGCAAATAGTAGGTAAGGTTCCTTAAAGGGCTCCTTAAAGGGACTTTAGGCTTCCTTCATGGGATCTATAGGGTTTAGGGATTCGGGTCTACTTGGGAGGATCATGGGACTTAGTAAGTATGGTTATAAGTACTTTCATTGGGGTTATAAGTAGTCGTAAGTATAGTTACCCTAGTTATAACCCTAGTTACTAAGTCCCATGATCCTTTAAGTAAAGCTTCAGGGGGATAGAAAGCGTTATAGCAATGATTATGAGAATACCGATTGTTGATATTGGTTAAACTCATAGCAATAACACCAATACTAGCAAGCACAATAGGAATCACAATGAAGATGAACATTGGCACAGCAGTCAGAATACCATAGGATAATAACGTTCCAGGGTTTCAGGGAGTAGAGGGTTAAGGGGGTCGTTCTACACGGCCCCACAGCGGCTTGTGGAAGGATTTTATAAAGGTTGTTTGCAAAAGCCTCTATGCCCTCAACTGTCTTGCTAAAGGGTATATCCAGCATCAACCTCCCCGATTAGAGGCACCACAAATGACAAAGGCGCAAGCAAACGAACTAATGGAGCCGCCTGATTCATAACCCTCCGGTCTTTACGGGCCCTGATCTTTCTTTGGATCCCGAAATCAATAAAAAAACCCAGCAAAGGGCCTAGTGAACGTGAAGTGTGGCCACCAGCCTAAGGTTTCGGGTTTCGGGTGCAGGGCTGTAGATGTATTACGACTATGACATGATTTTTCTAGGGGTCCTCACTATATCTACACGATACAATGCCCCAAAACCCTGTTCTACTTTGTTTCCGAAAATTGAGGACACCTTATTGTGGGGTCCTTCTAGTCACGATCCTACTATTGAGGGTGCCAGATCAGCGTCCCCTGTACTCGACAACTCCACCTGAGAGGATCCAACCGAGCGACTGAGAGCCCTGGCGGCCGCGACTGCACGGGGCTCGGAGGGCAGCGTTCCCCCCAAGCCTCCTCTTGGGTTCAGGGTCTAGGGTTTAGGGTCTAAGGCTTATATAGGGTTTAGGGTTCAGAGTTTCTGGTTTAGGGCTTAGATCGGGTGTAGAGTTTAGGGGGCCAGGAGGGCTTGGGTTTAAGATTTCTGGGCTTGAAAGATTTTGTTGCAGGAGGCTTTATCTCACATGGCTGACGGTCAAGCTACTTGGAGGATCATGGGAATTAGTAAGTAAGGGTATAAGTACCGTAACTGGGGTTATAAGTATAGTTACCCTAATGATAACCCTAGTTACTAAGCCCCATGATTCTCTGAGTAGGCCACAGTGTTACTGACTTAGTTCGCACAGTGCCGGTTGCTGAGATGAACCTTCTCTTGAGCTAAGGTCTCAAACCAAATCATCTCACCCTAGTTCAAAAACCCTTAGAATCTTACGCCCTATAATGCACCAAGCCTGCAACCCTAAACCCTGAAACCCCACACCTCTTAGGCCTAACAGGCCTTATCACCGGGTCCTTGGCTGCAGTTTCAGACGCTCTCAAAACAGCTTGAGCCTGGCTCCACTACACATAATAAGCATAAGCATTTTATGGGGATATCCCTACCTTATTGCGCTTCATTATAAGGGGATTTATATGGGATCCCCCTATCCTAATTTTTGCTTATGTGCTTTTTTGGGGGCCCTAGTATCTGGACCCCCACAACGTACCTTCTGAAGGACTTATGAACTCTTGAGCATTGTATCGTATGTACACAATCTGTAGCGTGGTGTATCTCACTCCTTCCTCTGCTGTTTTTGTTTTTTACTGTCTATGTTTTTGTGTTAGTCATTTCTCTGATTACTTTCTTCTTCATAGCTTCGGAAACCAAGAAGCATCACAGACTTCTTTTGCCACCCGAAGCCCTAAAAAAACACCGGAAAAACGAAGCACGCCTGCAAACCTTAAAGCTGAAGACTTCGCCGTGCATCCCAAGAGAACTCGGGAGAAAGGCCCAAAGGATTTAGGAGTTTAGGGTTCAGGGTTTCCGAAGCTTTCATCCTAAATAGATCGGAAGTAAGTCGGAACCGAACAGTTTTTGTATAATATACTAATATACTCCCAAACACTCTTCTGATTTTTACATCTACTCAAGGCTCGGAGGCTCGCAGCGAAGAAGGGGATCCCTCAGGCAGCTGCTCAGGTGACCAAAGAGTCCTTCAATTAGGGTTCTTTGAATCGAAGTTTATGGTCTTGGGGAAGGCTTTTTGTTTTAGCTGTTGCGTGTGCTGGGCTTCACTAGGGTTGTTATTTGGGTGTTTATAGGCTCTCTGCAGCGTTTCAGTGTAGGGCCCGGGCTGCTTGAAAGGGTGTATAGTATTAGGGTCTCATAGGGTCTTCTGGATTAACCAAGATGCTCTACTTGGAGGATCATGGGACTTAGTAAGAAGGTTATAAGTACCTTAATTGGGGTTATAAGTGTAGTTACTCTAATTAGAACCCTAGTTACTAAGTCCCATGATCTTTCAGGTAACCACATGGGCCCAGCTTGTCCGACGCAGCTTGAAGCAACTTTATGATGGTAGAACCGCGAAGTCCACAATGCACTCGTCGAAACACAGATATCACGGTCAGATCCGAAAGGACTCTCTGTGATACAACTTCGGAAATCAAGTAGAAGTTGCTGTAGATATTTACTTTGGGGCCCTACTGTAAGAAGTATACACTTATGGACGCGAGGAGGGGACCTGAATAGAGCAAATCCTGTCAGGGTCAAAAACGTTGGGGGTCAACCCTAGGCACCCAAATCGTAAAACCCTCGATGCTCTCGCTTCAGGGCTTCTCCGAAGTTGAGCACACACAGTGCTTGGACGGGGTGTGACCCCTCCGTCCCCCAAGATCCCAACTAGAGAATTGAATCCCATCCTAACTGATAGACATAGAGACTGGACACTTTCCTCCAATAGTCGGCAATCATGTTTAGCGAGCCATATCCGACCTAAACCCCTAAACCTAAACACTCGGGCCCGAAACCCTAAACCCTAGGACCCCTAAACCCTAAACCCTAGGCCCTACACCTTAAACCCTAGAATGTTGAGGGATGTTCAGGCTCCAGGGATCGTGGTGACGGTGCTGGTGCTGCCAGGGATGGGACGGTGCTTGTGACGACGATGCTATTGCCGCTGATGAAGATGATGCTCTTGAAGATCTTTTAGGGTTCGGGGTTTGGGGTTGTTTAGAGATTTGCACTGTTTAGGTAAGGAGTAGAGACTTGCTTGGGAGTTTAGAAACTTGCTTGGGGGTTAGAACTGCTCGAGGGCTTACAGCTCTTAGGGATTTGATGTAGCTCTCTATCTAAATGTTGAGCTCACTCTACTTATTCTACTGGGCATTCGCTCCCTCCCGCCACAAAGCAAAGAAAACTGCATGCCCGACACCCTCAAACAGAAGGCGCAGTCTTGGGTTTCAGGCCCACGGAATCATCTCGACGGAAAATGAGGGACAGCGCCAAGAAGCTCTTCCTTCCGCCAGTGCCCAGGTGTGGCAGCAGCCACCCAGCCACCGTGGAAGCCGTGACAAGCCCACGGAGTCATCCAGACGCAAGATGCTCAACACCATCAACGAGCTATTGCACCCACCCGGCCACCATGGAAGCCGTGACCAGGATGGGCGGTGGGAGGAGGGATTCCGTAGCTGATCTGCGGGCCAGAGCTTTTCAGCTTGATTCTCGCTTGACATTTTGGTGTTGCTCGAACTGAATGTTGGAGGATGCTTGGGCTCTACTTGGCGTTCCCTGCCTCCCACCACAAAACAAAGAGTCTTCCTTGTACACACCCCACGCCCGACACCCTCAACCCGAGGGCCCGGTTGAGTTTCAGGCCCACGGAATCCTCTCGGCGCAAGACGGTAAGCGCCAGCAAGACCGTCACGCCGACGCGGCCCCACGGAAGCCGTGAGTTGGAGTGATGATTGCGTGGCTGGTCCGAGGGTCTGCAATTTGCAGCTTGAGTTTCTCTTGACATTGGACCTTGTGTCAGTTGTTGAATCTAAACTGGAAATCGCATGCTACAGAGGGGTAGCCCTCGGGCCTCGTGACCCACAACTGCTGAGCTGGAAAGTCCTTGATTCAAGACGTCGCTAGCTTGTTCGTGCCAGCCAAGCATCCCTTCACTCCGACTTTGTGTTAAATTGATTGGCCAGCCAGCATCATAGATCCATTGCGCCCTTGGTTCAGTTAGCTAGCTGCACCCCTCATGAGGAACACGTGCAAGTCCCCACAGAGGCACCATGTGTTCAATTGGTTGGCCAGCCTTTGGGCCAGGCGGAGGTCGAGTGACCTCGCCACCCCTACGTGCGACAACCACACATGACATGTGCAAAACAAAGTCACCAAGCATGGTTATGCCACCATCGAAGGTAGGTGTCAGGGATTTGGAGCTTCGGGGGGCCAAAGCACGTTCAAGTCATGTTGCATGTACTCTTTAGCTTCTATGGTCGCGGTTCCTATGTCCAGCTGCTGAAACTGTTAAACTTGTAGATAGGGTTTCTGGCACCCCGTCGCGCCGGGCGGGTGCCGCTGGGGAGAGGCCGGATGCGCGGCGTGCTCCCTGCCCATACCCTGTCCACCTGCCGATGATGTTTCGGCATATGGGGCGTGAGCGACTGTTTCGGCTAATTTTTGCCTGATATGGCTCCTTTCTAGGGTTCCAGTGAGGGTTGCTATTAATTATGAAGGTTCCTTCTAGGGTTCCGATGAGGATTCTTATCAGGGTTTCCTCTACGGTTCCGACCAGGGTTCCGATGAGTTTTCTCTAGGGTTCCGATCGGGTTTCAACTTCCAGCTAGGTTTTCGTTTACGATTCCGGATTGGGTTCCGGGTAGGATTCAATCTACGACTCCGCTTGCTTGCTCAGTGTAGGGCACCTTCGAGGAATCCGATAAGAGTTCCTTTAGGGTTGCTAAACTAAGGATTTCCTTTTCGCACACCTCCTTCTGGGGAGTTTAAGCTTTATTGGGTGTTGGCCGCTAAGGTTTAAGGATCTTCGTATTGTTAGAGAAGGTAAACTCTGTTTAAAGTTATGGCATCCGAAGGATGGGTGGGTAGATATTCGATAGGGAAGTAGCGAGCTTTACCTCAAAATGTTCGAACTTGAGGACTAAGCTTGAAACCGCACAGCCTACACCTTGCACCCTAATCTCCCCCAATCTGAATGTCAAATTTCGAGCAACCCTACGGGTGGAATGCCTCGGCTCCACCTGCAGGCGGCCTCGGAGAGCGAGGCCCGGTGCTATTGCTTTACGGTTTCAATTCTAGGGTGCGGGCGTGTAGCCTTAGGGGTTTTCACGTTTTCAATTGGTAATGGTCAGTACCAAGACAACACCAGAGGTTTTTGCCCTTTAGCCCTCGAGCTTTAGATAGCTCTCGCAGTTGAGCCATCCCCCAGTAAAGAGCCAGGGCCCGAAGCGGCGGCGCACAGCCGAAGGTCAAATCCTCGGCTTACGGCAGGGGGGGGAGACAGAAGAAAGGATTAGTCTTTGGCTTTAAGGGCCAGTTGTCACTGATAGCATTGTTGCTCCTTCCTCGCACGGACGCCCGAGGCCGGATCTTCGGGATCTGCGTTTACAATCAGTCAGTCGTGCCGGACCGGCCAAAAACAAGAGGTTTACGGGGTGGGTTTTGGTGGAGGGCATGACGTGCGGCCACTACGGCAAACGTGCGGCGTTTGCAGATTTTCAAGGTGGACATTGGGCTCTGCACCAAAAGTTGGTCTCTATCAACACCTTTACGAATACTGCATATTTAGGGTCAGGATGTGTAGTGGCCGAAGGTTCAGGGTTTGGAGGTTGCTGCGCGAAGACCAGTAAGCCACAGACTTTTCCCGAAGTCTTAGACCGAAAGCCTTCAGTTGTTTGTCGAGGCTTTAAGTTTCCAAGTTTTGGGGGTGTCTGGAAGTTGCACGTCGCAGCGTTGAGGCTAGGTCTGGTTGTAATTAGAGTGATCAGTTCTCAACTGGGAAACAACAATGGGTGATGTCTAAATGGAAGGCCTGAATACTCAAAGATCGTATTCCTTGGATTTTATCAAATACGAGTGTATTGTTACAACAATATCGCTCAAAAACCTTGCTTAAAAGGTCAAGCTGCTACGTTCGGGCTTCGCAGGGTTTGTGGTCGATGCAATTCCCAGATTGTGGTTGCCGGTTGGATCCCGCCATACGAGGTAACCTTGGGTTTTTTGATTCTTTATATGCATCCGCTTACTTTGGGCTTAAAGGACAAAGGTGTTTAATCGGTTTCTTGATCAGTTACCTACATTCCTTTCTGATCCTAAGCCCTAGGCCCTAAACCCCTAAACCCCCAAGAAACCCTAAACCCTTATAGAGCTCGTATCGGAACCTGATAGATCCCTTATAGGAAGCTTATTATCACATTACACGTCGCCCATTTTCAGGTCATCTTGACTGGACCTGTGCCAACTGCAGCGCCCACAACTACAGCTATCGCGGGGCTTGCTTCAGGCCGACTGGGTGTAGGGACTAGGGCTATCGTGGAGGCCGATGGTGGGCTGTGTTGCCTGGAAGACACAGGAAACTAGTATAGGGGCCTTAACAATGAGAATACGGTTTCGGGGCCCATTATACTTATGGTAAAGTAAGGAACCCCCAAAGTAGTATAGCTAATTTTTCGGGCCTCTAGTAGAAACTGCCTATTTGCCTACTTGGAGGTTCATGGGTAGAAATTACGTGAGGTTATAAGTAGGGTAAGTATACCTACGACCCCTATTGGGGGACTTCTAACCCCACTTATTACCTACCCATTAACCTCCAAGTAGAGAACACAGGAAAATGGAAATACTTTGTTCCCCCCATTATTCCTCATACTCCCAAAAAGCTTTCTAATCATTAAGATGCTCCTGTCCGGCCAAGGTCAAGAAACCACAACAATGCTCCTAAGCCTGAGACACAAAGCACTGCTGACCCCCTGTCCTTTCATTCTAGGTCCGTCTCCAAAACATGTACTTGCAAGATGCATTACGACATATATACCTATGCATCCATCCATCGTCCACTAGCATCCAGGCAAAGATGCGGACAACGGCAAACAAAGGCACTCACGAAGATGCATGCACAAGTAGCCAAACGCAGACAGCCTGAAACTTCACAGAAATTTGCATAACAAAACTGCAAGTCCCCACACTTCCAGGTGTAAAATGCCTCGTGGCCCAGGCGCTCAGGGAGGGATTGACTGCAAAGCTCAATATGGAAGATTGAATAGTAGTACTCTTCCATAACCACGGCAAAATCTATCCCCAAAGCCCCAAGCCCTACTCTCGTCGTTCGGTCTCCTGCCATAAGCTCAAGTCTTTCACATTTCTGCGGGCTTCCTAGCTTGCCCCTCAGTTGAGATCATGTTTCCCAGGCAAGTTGCTAGCCCCAAACCCCTAAACTCTAAGACCCTAAACCCTTATAAACCTTCAAGTGCGGGGAAGCCTCGGGATCATTGGAGGGTCGGATTTTTGGTTCACAAGTGTTGCGGCGCGAGAGCCGAAGATTCAGTGGGGTGTACATTCCAGGTGAAGGGCAGTACAGTGGCCTGATAAAGTGGAATAGGATATGCTAGAACTTAAGAGGGACCGCAAGGGAATCGTACTACCATTTTCCGTCCTTAATCTGAGTTAGACTTGTAAGGTGTGCCAGGTTTCGCTCTCTCAGGTCTTTGTAGCTTTGAGTTGGGGGCTGGGTGGCCGAAAGAGAAAAATAGAAGCTTCCCTAAACGATGCCCAACATTACTATTCCTTGGGGTTCTTTACTTAGAGTTATACTATAGGGTACTTGGAGGATCATGGGACTTAGTAAGTAAGGTTATAAGTACCCAAATTGGGGTTATAAGTAGTTATAAGTCCAGTTACCCTGATTATAACCCTAGTTACGAAGTCCCATGATCCTTTAAGTAATCCTAAAAACCCTCTTATAGAGCCCTTTTTAGGAACCCGTCAAGGAACCCTAGTTACTAAGTTCCATGATCCTTTAAGCAACCTTAAAAACACCTCTTATAGAGCCCTTATAAAGATCTCTTTTTAAGGAACCCTTTAATGAACCCTAGTGACTAAGCCCTAAACCCTAAACCCTAAACCCTAAACCCTAAACCCTAAACCCTAAACCCTACCCTAAATCCCCTGATCCTTCAAGTAGGGTAGCCCGGTATCCCAGTCTTTGGGCGCCTGGAGCCGAGAGTTTAAAGCCCGAAGCCCTGAACTGAACCCCTTAGGGTTTAGGGTTTAGGGGGTTTAGGGGGTTTAGGGGGTTTAGGGGGTTTAGGGTTTAGGGGGTTTAGGGGGTTTAGGGGGTTTAGGGGGTTTAGGGGGTTTAGGGGGTTTAGGGGGTTTAGGGGGTTTAGGGGGTTTAGGGGGTTTAGGGTTTAGGGTTTAGGGGTTTAGGGTTTAGGGTTTAGGGCCCTAACATTAGACTTTAAACATAGTTGGCTGATGCGTTACATGATTATGACTTAAAGTCATATAGGGATAGAAGTTACACATTTTCATATTATTCAGCCATGAGCTAGTCGACTTCATGGTGCAGAATTGGGCAGACCTGGCAACAAGCGTCAAACCCCAGGCCTAGAACGCTCCAGCCGGAAAGCACCCTGCATTTTTCGTCTTGTTATATGACATGATGGTGTAGTACACTATCTGACATGGTGTATTATGGTATACCGTAAAGTGCTGTAACATGTTCTAACATGCTGTTTGGAGTATATGACCCTGACCTTTCACAGGAGTTATGGGCGAGCGGCGCCACCCAGAGGAGCTGCAAACAGGTCTCTTGTAGTGGGATCTGCAGAGAGGGCGATGTTTCTGCCCGAAACACCAAGCCCTGAAGCCCTCAGTATAAACTCTGGCAGTTTGAAAGCGCCCTGCCCCCCCAAAAAAAACCCAAAAACCCCTGAAGCCCTACGATGAGGCTCTTGCACTGGGGGCTCTTGGAGTTGATAGCTTTCCCAAGACCTCGGAAGCTGTCCACTCGTGTACAGCGGCTGCGGGTATTTGATCCTTTGGGCCTCGGTTTAAGGTCACCGCTTTACCTAGGGACCCAGTGGTAGAGTAGGTAACCTTTAGCCTTTTTTGGGTGGTATAGTCCCTACATAATGATTATGACATAATGCCTCTATAACCAAAAAGGTTAACCTTTAGTTCCCCATGATACCTGACAAGTAGGTTTATCTGTGTGCGCGGGAGAGACATACATAGAGTCTGCAAAGACTGTGTCCGATAGTGTGAGCGCTAACTTCCTGCTTTGACGGTTCCCAGTGTTGACTCTTGGTAGAGAGTTGAGATCAACTGGAAAGAGCGAGCTACGGTTGATGACCATCTGAGCATTCTGAGCATGTTTTTTCAGGATCAGCACTGAACAACCCGCAACGAATCGTATTCGGAGAGCCCATGCGAACCTCAACAGTTCAACCAGCCGACCGGGTGGGATGCCGTAAATCTGTGAGGAGCCGAGCCCCTGGCAAGGAGCAGAGGCAGCCGTGGTGTTTGGGAGTTCCCGAAAATGGGGGATCAAATGTAGTACCCTATATAATAGGATCCTTATTATAAGGACCCTCAAAAAAGGTACCCCTAGTTTTTGGAAACTCCCGTTTCAATGAACCAAAGCCCTGTACTCTCACCCTACACCCTAAACCCATCTAAACCCTTAACCCTAAAAACCCCCAACCAGTGATGTGTTACTGCTGCAGACTTACAGTGTATGCCTAACACCAGGCATGCTTTGGACCCGCGGAGCAAAGCCCATTTACTAAACCCTGAATCCTAACACTGTAACTAAAATTCCATATGGGACTTTCCGAAAATAGGGGACCCTAATATAGTACCCTGATATAGTACGATCCTCATTATAAGGACCCCTAAAGACGGTACCGCAAATTTTCGGAAACTCCCAAACCCTAAACCCTCTATACATCCCTTTAAAGGAACCCTTAAAGGAACCCTTATAGATCCCTTTTAGAGGTACCCCCCCATTTTTTCGGAAACTCCCATATCCTGTGAACAGGGTTCTCCAGGCTTCGAGCCTCTGTACCGACCAGGCCGCTGCCTGTGCAAACGGCGCCGGAGGCAGCCGGACGGCGACCGATCCGGAGTGATTGGTTCAGGGTTAAGGGTTTAGGGGTTTAGGGTTTTGGGATTAAGGTTTTAGGGTTTAGCGGTTTAGGGTGTAGGGTTTACGGTTACCCAAAGGGTCCAAGTAATGGCAGAGTAAATACTGTTGGGGCCAAATACCTATAACGTACCTACTATGGTATTTGGACCCTTTGGGTCAAGGGTTTAGGGGTAGATCAGGTTGTTTGCGGGGCCTGGAATAATTGGGGGCTCCTGTAAAGAAAACGCTGGGGTTCCTAGTCTTGGGGCATGAGCAGCAACCTGATAGATTGGTTGAAAGCCCGAAGATTCTGAATATGCTAACAGTTTAGACTACACTGTAACATAGTATAATATATGTTTTATACCGTCAGTAACAACCTAGTATAACCTACGGTTTATACTAGACTTCAACAGGCCAGTCGAGTTGTTGAGCGTTAAGGCCTCTACGATGCATACTTGGTGCTCGGGGTCTTCACTTCCTAGTTTCAGCGCTTGGCGTTCAGTTCATGAAGTATATTGTCGGGACATAGCGGCTTGAATTATCAGCAATTCTACCCCTTAGGGTTACTATCATAGATGTGAACTTTCACAATGCTGCTATGGCAAAAGGAAGGGGAAAGGAGAAAGGAAAGTCGAAACTTCGTGGTCAGCAGGATTTGGTTTGTTGGACTTGCGGAAAACAGGGCCATGTTGCCTCGAATGGCCCTTCGTCGGACGTGTCAGCACGCTTGATGAAAACGCGGTCGTTGATGGTGAAGAACTTGTTGGTGATCAAGTTTAGATAGAAGATGATTGGTCCGCAGACACTTAGTCTGAGGATTGGTGGTCAGATGACTTGGTTGCCGCGGCGCATGGTTACGATGGAACTTGGGGTGATGATTGGTGGTGGTCCACTTGGGATGACGGTTGGAGTGATGCTTGGACGGATACTTCTTGGAGTGTTGTTCCGCCTCGTGCCGTTGAGAAAGCCACTTCGTCACCTTCGGCTTCTGGCCCGAAGGCCACTTCAGGAGCTTCTGCTGGTGCTTTGACTTTGGAGACGCCACCTTCGTCCAAGGCAGAGGCCAAAGCTACTTCCAAGGCATCGCCTAAGGCTTCTGGCTTTCTTGCTTGGTTGCGCCATCTTGTCTGGAGGTGTCACTTCACAAGATGCTTGGTGGTTGTGCTGCATTTGATGACTTCTCTGTTGCCAGTGCTTGTGATGATGCGTCAAGGCACTTGCCAACATGGGAGTTGTCACCGGTTATGTGCCACTTGCCTAGTCAAGATGGACTTTCAAGATGGACTTTCTTGTGAATCCTTTTTGTTCCATCCTAAGACTTTGGAAAATTGGGCTCTTGGACATCTTGATACGAGGTTCTTTGATCCCTACTTGGCAGAACATCAGTTTGGGTTGTTTCAGTTGAGCATCGAAATGATGAAGCTTAGGTCTTGTTTGATTCTGGTGCTGCAGCAAACTGTTGTCCACCTTATTTCGCCCCAGAGTTTCCTTTGCTTCAACTTGATGAGGAAGCACCACCTTTGAAGAGCATTTTAGGTCAGACTTTGAACATTTATGGTAGGAAACTTGTTGTGTTTGAGATTGAAGGTAAGAGATTGTGGTTGAACTCTTATGTTTGTGATGTGCCTTAGAGCATCACTTCTGTTGCGAGACGTGTTCAACAAGGTTGCAAGGCTACTTTGAGCACTGAGGGTTCCAGACTTGAAGGCCCGTCTGGTGAAAGCATGCCAGTGATCAGGTATGCTTCACTTCTGTTTTGAGCCCAAACCTTGTTGGCTTTGATCCTGTGGAGTCTGCGGACTTCAGCAATTTTGGCCCTTCACGGGCTTTCTAAAATTGCTAAAGTTTGTCCCCTTTGCAAATCTCGAAAAACAAAATCATCTCAAGAATTCCGTATTCAGCCGAAGCTTCTTGTAATTCTTGGCCTTTTTGAAACTGTAGAATTCTGTCGATTTTCTAACCTGACTTTGGAAAAATGAAATGTCAAAATTGTAAAAACAGTCGGCCCTTTCGGAATCTCCCTATTTTCATTAGATTCCTGCTAGGAAGCCTCTCATTGCTATGAGACTCTTAAAGCGGCGGGATTCCAGCAGCATTCCAGCGGTACAATTTCCATTTTCAGAGTTGAGGTGACTGAAAGATGTCCATGTTCAGAACAAGGCGGCCTTGTGGCAGTCTGCAATTGCTCGAGCCTTTGACTGTAGGGTTTCTGGGTCCAAGAAGAAAACTAGGCAATGTATTGTGGCTCAGCCTTGGTAGCTGTCAATTGTTGGTTAGCGTTTTTCTTTATGCTATGTCACTGTCATTCTTGTTATCAGCTCGAAGAGCTACATGTCTTTTGGTATCCTATGCTTCTGTGCTCTTTGCGATGATCCTGGTTCGCGTCTTGCTTGTGACGTAGGACTTTGGTGATGGTTGTCGGGTACGTTGTTGTCGTTGTTGTCACATACTGGTTGGAAGTGGAAGTGGCAGCAGCCGTTTACGCAGGAGTGGGATGACAGCACTGTCAAAGAATGCGTTTTTGCGCATGACCTCGCAGAGCTCGTCCCCAAGGACGTTCTCCTCTTTGTTTTTCGAGCCTTTGGACAGGTTCTCAGAGCTGGTATGCTGAACTCGCTGGCAAGTAGGCAGTGGCTCTCACTGAACGGGTGAGTGTTGGGTGGTTGCTCATTTCCTGTAATCCATTTTAGCGCCAGCCTGCGCTGTAATCACAGTTTCCGTGAAAGCCTCTGGAACCAAGATGTGCCGTTTCCCTCTCAAGCATGCCAGGTTGGCAATCTTGAGCATTCACGACGACTAACGGATGCAACTGCAATCAACATAATCTCTTGCTGTGGCACGTGCTTACAATCTCAGTCAGGCATCCGCACATGTATCCCGACAACGACAATTGGGTGGTTCTGTTGTGGGTTGCCCATTGCTCTTGCTCGTGAACCACAAGCAAGCGGATTTCTCCTGTGGATGTGAAAAGGCAGGCTCTAGCTCCTAGGCATTTTGGCAAAAACATTTCACGAGTAGCAGAAGTAGAAACAGTGGCCTCCGTCAAATGACCGGGATGTTGAAAATTGGTCATGAGCCGTATAGAGGGTTTAGGGTTTAGGTTTTGGCGCCAGAGCAAATGGGAGATCAATATCAACGAGCCCTTACCAGTCGTGCCCCATATCCCGAATGCAGGGGCCAGGAAGGAGTGGCCGCAACGGTGTCGGTCTTCTGCCAGGCATCATGGATCTGACAATGCGTGGCCTTTTTGGCTCCACAACATGTTTTAGTTTTTCGCATTGCGGCTGCTATTCCCTCGCTTCGCTCGGTAGTCGCCGAAGAGAATGATCTCTCCAGCCAATGGGCCAGCGAAAGTGGTCTGTGAGGCCCCAAGCTTTTGGACAATCTTTTGCAATTCAATGTTGCTTCGACATTTTGTGTGTGCGTGCATTCTCCCAAGGTCTCGAGGGACAGGAGTGCCACCTCGAGATTGGATGGTCAGCCGACACCCGCATGCTTCTGCTATGCTTGATGCTCGTTCTTTGGTGATTATGTTGGCATGCACCTGGATCTACGGCATGTACCAGTCCAGAATCATAGGACCAATGAACTGGCTCTGCCAAGGTGCCGTCCTTCCGCAACCTGCACTTTCAGAACAAGGCTTGGGCCAAGTTCGCCAGAGCTCTCCTCGGTCCCAGGGTCGCCCGAGAATGATGCACACACAAGGCGGCTCCTGTCCTGGGCAGAGGCGGCCTTTTGCAGCCTCAGCAGCTTGGCTCGAGGTCAATGGAAGCAGGTTAAAGGACTCATGTTGAGGTGACTGTAAATATATCCTCACATGTTGATGCGTGCCATGATTTGGGAAACGGTTCGGGTTCAGGAACTGTGTTGGCGCTACTTGGACATAGAGGTTGCCTTTTGCTTGCATCCTGCTGTCCATGTATTAGCCTGTGTCTCCATAGTTCTCATGGCCATACCCGTCAAAAGGGACACGCACGCACATAAGAAGACAGAACCTGGTGAGAGGTGGCATGAGTCAATTTGCACCAGCTGGTGTGTAAGCCCGTCATGGCATGTTCCAACCTCAAAACCCATGAAGCAGAAACTCGGGGACTTGGCAGCATCTATCCTGGGGGCCGGTTCAGCTCATCGAGAAGGCAACTGTGCGACTAGCAGCCTGGACCAGGGCCTATCTCACTTACTGTACCTCTACAACATACATGTGCCCCCCCCAGCCCCAGTGATCCATGTCTTGTGCGCATGTGCTCTACACACTGTTTTCTGTGGTTAAGACAATGCCTTCCGGGCGTCAAGCTTTGGGTTTCAATCCCAGCAGCACCAATACGATGTTAACAATAAGCCATGACTGCTATTGACAGGAAAGGCACGAATATTTGTCATGGTAGTATATATAGGTTTCCGCTTCAGTGCAGCACGCATACCCAAAAAGAGGAATGCCAGTAAAGTGCGTCATTACAAGAATATCAACAATGATAGTGAGATTAACAACGATGATAATAGTGGGCATCGCAGTCATATTCTCGTAAGCAATGTTGACGAAGAATACTACATACTCGCTGCCACGAGCGGAATGGTAGTAGGCAATGACTCCTATGTTTCCTGATAATAAGATAGCACCCATCGTAAACGGAAGTATACATAATGGCAGTACAAGTTTTTGTCTTGCAGCGGCAATCATAAGCCAGTCCTGTCAACAATGCAAACAGTTTTCCATTAGTATGATTATTGCTTGTCACATCAATCAGTGATGGCTGTCACAGTACTGCTCATAGTGTTTGTCACACTTAGAATACTAACGCTAGTGATGATGCAAGCAACAAGTGCAATAAGCATGGCAACCGCATCTATGACAAATTGCAATACTGCAGATGTCTTGTGCCGAGTATCAACAAGCATAGCCGTAATATTTATAGCCGTGGAGGTAATACTTGCTGTGGTAGAGATACTCGAAAATCTCCAAATTCAGAATGCCAACAGCAATAACAGTCACATTCTTACTTATCTTCATAACAGTTCTTTCGCAACTGTAGTAACAGTAGTAGTCTCATCATTGGATAATGAAAGCTCATAGCATTTCTCGTAGGAGAAACAGCAGCAGTGATTGCAAGAGCAGCAACACCAACAAACAAAGTACAATACTGCGAATTGCGATACCATCGTTTGGAAGAACTACAAGCACAACCCCATTAGGACACATGTGTCCACAGCAGTTCAAATGACAACGTCACGAGCATGGCAGCCATACAGAAGCAAAACTAGTACTAAGAAATCATCACTACCAGTCTGATGCGCTGGCCATTGTAAAAGTAGCATACGCATCAGTTTCCATTGTAATGGCCACCATAATGGTGATGCTAAAGCATAGTGGGACCAGCAATAACCATGAGCAATACAAGTAGCTCTGAGAAGAAACGGTAAGAATAACACTTGTACCAACAATAGCAAACATGGACATGATACGATCAATGGTAGCAACTGGAATACTGATCGCAACGGTGCAACAACAAGAGCAGCCAGACAAATGTGCACGATACGACTGTCGGCAGTGATATCGATGGCGGCAAGGCACAAAAATGAGACTTGTGATGGTAGCGATGCTGCTAGCGCGAATAACGAACATGACAGTAGTAGCAACTGAAGATACAGTTTCAGGGCGGGTAGTAAAAATGTTATGATGGACATCACACCGGCCAACTACAATAAACAGTATGATTTTTCGACAAATGGCATACATGCAACATGTAGCAACAAATGTAGTAATGGCAGTAACGACGGTAATAGTGGCACCACCACGATGTTTGCATTCCCCTCGCAACACATTGACCTTTAGGTCGAGAAGGACATGAAGAGGACTGCCCCGCTCACAAGCATGCCACTTGTACATGCGGCTGGAAGTATGTGACGAGCCTTCGGCCCGCTCATTGAAGAGCTGGGAACTGGACTTGTTTTGCATCGTGCTGCCCAGGTGGATGTCAATCTAGGGCTACCTGCCGTTGTGTACACTTAGATATTATGAAGCAGGTGCACAGATGCCGGGCTTGTCAGAAACTTGCGTCACTGACTGCTAGGGGACTTCAACTTGGGCAATCAAATTAGGTATGGCAATTCAGTATGCAAATTCAAGTTTGCAACTTCATCTTGTGCACAAGAAGCCAGCTTGGCTCTAATGCAAGATCGAGCTTTCTGCGCCGCTGAAAAGATGGGGCATATTGATTGCACGGGTAGGAGGGCCTGTTTCCCGCTTGGGTTCCTTCCACTCTCGGCATCATGAACATTCCCGTAGGCTTCATCAGCACAGCAGATTGCAGAGTTTCTCGGAAGGCGGAAGAAAAGTCTGATAAGGGCGAGACCACCAGGGCCTGCGTCACACCCTCTAGTTCCCAAGCCAAGATTGGAGACAAGAGGAGATTGAGAAGGAACTACGAAAGGAAATATGAGGGGAGACCAGGCCAGGCGCTCCCTCACACCAGGCTACATGCCAGGAAAACAACAAGAGATTATAAGAGCTTTCCGTTTTGGGGGTCAGCTCGTTCGACCTGAGTTTTTATAGGGGCAGCTGTTTTCTGCATGCCAGCCTGAACTGTATGCAAGCCTGAACTGTGGTTCCTGCCGTTTTTCTCTCGCAAACGTGTCTTGGCAGCATCAACGCAAACGGTACTCCAACGCTCAGGAAAGAAACGAGTAGAACACATATAGGGCATCTCAGAAGTGAGATAACACATGTGTACAGGTTCATATGACCATACCACATCATGCCTTTGCGTGTCCGGGCATGTGGGGACCTATACACATTTCCGCTCCAAGCGTTTGTACCCCGCAAATGATCCTCTGAACCGTCCACAAGGAGTGCGAACGTGAGCTTGGCCGCTCAGAAGTAGAGCAGCAGGAACTGCTGCCCCAATCGCGCCTGCCAACTCGAAACTTGATGCACATGATGGTATCTTGAAACAACCACTTGCTGAATCTCCTCGGTGCAGTCTGGCCACATTCATGGCAACACGTTTTGCAACCCCTGAAAGAGACGCGTTGTTTTGAATACCTTGTTCCAGTGTCGAGTTGCCGCATCGCTGCCTTTCGCCAAGCCTATAGCAGTTCCCGGGTGATGCCAGCCATGTACATGTAGTACACACGCTGTTTGCGAATTGCCTGAAATCTGCAGCCAATCGCTGCAACCTGGAATCCACCGAGCCCTCAAGAGAACCACGATCGAAGACACGCTACTTTCGCCACAGCTTACATTCAAAAGTTTGCCATAAATCTGTTCGGTATAGTTCATGCCCGTTGCCATGGGGTATGTCGCCCAGAAGATACAATAACCAGGATTTGCTCCAACCGAGCCCAGCCACCTTGTGGTGAAACGAAAGATTTTAAAGCTTTAGGGCACATGGAGGAGTTTCTCGCGAAGCGACCACGTTTGCACGACCCATTCTCCATGATGTCCAACCCTTTTGTCGCTAAATCTTTCGCATTATCAGCGCACATCGTCAGCAGGATGTCTGAGGTTTCCCAAGCCAAGCTGCGTCAGCTGAAATTACCTAGCCTAATAGAGCCCCTCAAACCTTGTTCCATTTATGTGCGCCTGAGTATTTGGCGGCATGCTGTCCCTCGAGCTGCCCAAGGGGTAACCGTAAACAGTATACTTGTAGGATCAGAGACGTGGTATTTAAGTAAGGTTATAAGTACCTCAACTTAATTGGGGTAAAGTAGTTATATGTGTAGTTACCCTAATATTATAACCCTGGCAACGAAGTCCCATGAGTCCAGCCGTTAAACACTTATTCGAAATCTTTGCGGCAACCATGACTCCCATAGCAGCCTCAACATAAACCCCTTGCTCCGTTGAAATCCTAGACTCTAAAGCCCTTCGTAAGAATTAGCAATAGTTTGCCCTTGTAGTCCCAATATCGGTAAGCTACAAGGCTATGAGATATGACTAAAAAAACATTTCCAAGTGTCCGGGCACTGTTGACATGACAGACACCCCATTGTACCTGAAAGCCCACCTATATTGATTGTTTGGCTAAAGGGTCTAGGGCTTAGGGTTTAGGATTTAGGGTTAAGGCTTTCGGGGAGGCTTTGACACAGGCTCTTCTGAAACAGCTCTCCGGCTTTGGCGCGGGGAGAAAGGGTCCCGTAGGGATCATCCGACCCCCCAGGCCTTCAGGCAGGCGATTCTGGAGCGTGGCAAAGAAGCCGTTGCTCATGCTCTGGGATTTGCGCTTGCTGCAAACTTGTATGGCACTCGCTAATCCCATTCCGGGGCCATACCTGCGAACAAGGGGTCCAAATTCAGCGACGAAGTGAAGGGACCCCTCAAGGTGGCCTCAGTTTTGTACTTGGACCTCGAAGGGGATGAGGGCTTGAAGCACCGGCCTTTTGAGTATTAACACATTCGCTTCGGCATTCCCAGAGCTTTCGCTCCTGTCAAAATCGTTAGATGCGCGTCTTCCTACGCCACATTCCTAGTCTGCATGTGGAGCCGTTTCGTATCACGATTCCCGAAACCCTGGAACCTACCTTCATCCCATCTTCCGGGTTCTGGTTAAGGAGCTTCGTTTAAATGGCCACTATGAGGACACCATAGCATGTACTATAGATCCCTGTTATGGCAACTTGAATTCCTTAACTTACGCGAACTTCGTCTCACCCTTCCTAAACCCTTTAAAACCTTAAACCTTAACCCTTCAAAACCCTGAACCCGTTAAAACCCTAAACCCATTAAAACCCTAAGCATTGTAAAAGCCTAAACACTCTAAAAATCTTTAGTCTTCGGGAGGCCTCCCGGCTGCTGAGAACACCTTTACCGTGATCGAGGCGGGACACTCTACTAGGTGGCAATTTGGGAAACTTTTTAATTTCCCTTATGGTTCCTATAGAGGTACCTATTCATAAATACTTTTCAAAGCCCCGAAACTACAACCCGGTATAGTAGAGTAGAGTGTAGTAGAGTATACTTGGAGGATCATGGGACTTAGTAAGTACGGTTATAAGTACCTTGATTGGGGCTATAAGAAGTTATAAGTATAGTCACACTAATTATAACCTTGGTTACAAAGTCCCATGATCCTTTAAGTAGTGTATGCACAGTACAGTATAGGTATAGTATAGTATCGGCACAGTAGTTTGATCCGTTGCACACGGCTCCCTGTTTCTTAGTAGGTAGGGATGGATCCCTAAGTATGGTAGCCCCTTCAGGTCCCCTAGAGTACTGCCTATGCTCGTAAAAAGAACCAGGGAGACAATTGAGGGAACCCTGAGGCCAAGAAAACCCTCCATCTACCTTCTATCAGACCCGAAATGCCCATTATTTGGGACCCTATTATTATATTTCCTTAAAACCTAAACCTAAACCATTCCAACCCCCAAAGCGCTTCACCCATGCTTGCTCTCTGCGTCTTCAGAGTTCGAGGCTTAGGTCGAGGTAAGAGCCGTTGGTATAGTGGGATCCTTACCCTCAGGCTCTAAGGACTAACATTTTCAGGCTTCGGGGACACAGACCGCATTTTTGTTAAGGCTTTTGGGCTATTTTGAGCCTTAGAGTTAAAGTGGGTTGGTCCTAGGGGGGTTTAGGGTCAGGGGAACTCATGGAACATTCGGCGGTACTAGGGAGAACTAGAGTAACTAGGGATTGCAAAGCTGCGTACCCACCTTGGGCCCCCTCCCTCCCTTCTCTTCTACACTGGTGTATTGGACATGGCCTGTAAACCCCACTGATTCTTGTCCCCGTTTTCTCAATCGCAGCTACAATCAGCTACACCGAAGGAACAAAAGGTCGTTTCCAGATCTTGCAATCATCACAGGCGTCCTGAACCGTCAAGTCATGAAATTCTTCTCGTGACATAGCTCGCACCTCACGAAGCCAACAAAAGCCGAACTCCTCAATGCACCACTCCAACTCCCCTAATCGCACCAGGAAGACCAAGAATGATTTGTCCTTTGCTCGCAGGTCCCTGAGTCGTACATTGGCCTGCTGATCGGTAAGGGTGGCTATGACATCAGGCAGCTCCAGGCAGGGTGTAGGGCAGTTTGGGTTTCAGGGCGGTCAGATAGATTGCTCAGGGTTAAGGAAGGCTTCGTGGAGCTTGGGCTGTTGTGGGATCGATTGGGTGACTTCAGCAAGTTGTTAATTTCACAGCAGTTAGAGCTAGGTTCAGAGCAGACTCCGGAAAGTCACGAAGCCCTCTGCTCAGTTTCTGAGTGCCTGTGAATGCCCTTGGATTTCGAGGACCGAGTCTACCTTTGAAACTGCCAACGGCCAACGGCGAACCAGACCATACATTCTGAACCTCCAGTAGCCCGGCTTAATCTCTGTACCGTCGAAGGTTTTTTGCATCCAGAGTTGGTTGGAGCCAGAATACTGTAGTTCGCCATGCTTACTTGGACGGTTAGTGTCTCAGTATGAGAAGGCAGGAAGCCCCAGACCCCACCTACTACAGGGGCTTAAACAATTACCTATACTATTTTGGGGGTTCCTTATTGTAATTCTAGTAAACCCCAAACCCCTAAACCCTAGGCCTTTGAACCTGAAGTAAAACCGTTTTTAGGGCTCCTTATGATTACTGTAACTGTATGATTAGTCTCTTAAACAGGCCCTTCAAAACCTAAGCCCGAAAACCTAGGCTCCCAAAACCTGAACCAGGAATGCCAAAACCTGAACCCTAAACCCCTGCGGCCCGTAGAACCCTAAACCCTAAACAGGAATCCAAAAAATCAAAGCCAGGTCTTTCCCCAGTTCCTAAACCCTAAACCCCTAAACCTTCAGGTTTCAGGGATTGGGTTTAGGGTTTCGGGTTTAGGGTTTAGGGTTTAGGCTTGGGGAGCCCAACCGCCTGATCCCTCAAAACCAAGCCGCCGCGATGTCAGGCGTGCACGGGCGCGGCTGTCCAGGTCGGCAAACTCTCCTTCGAAGGCTCGGACTGTGAAGGGGTTTAGGCTTCAGGTTTCAGGGTTTGGTTTCGGGTTTGGCTCAAATTTCAGGGTTTAGGGTGTAGGGCTAATGATTCAGTTATCTAGTAACGATAGGAATATGTTCTCGTTGATATAGTGCTTACACAAGTATTAATTTTATACGGCTGCAACTACTACGGGGTCCCCGCGGGGTCTTAAGGAACATGTGCTATTTCTCAGGGGTCGGTAGTCTGACTTGAGGTATACTCTGAAGTAACGGGCTTTGGACTGTGGGGTTGCGTGAGTAATATAAGGGCCTCAAAATCAACAGGCTGTTGTTTTTTGCAAGAGGTGGAATATGATATCCTTATACGAGACTACAAGAGGATACTATTTGGTTTCTATGTCTCAGTCGCACATGAGGCCCGAGACCTCTGCCCAGTTTTCCAAAGGGTCCAAATAAAATATCGTTGTAGTAGGTACTTAGTGGGTATCTGGGCACCAAAGTCTATACTGTACCATTCCTTGGACCCTTGTTGTTTCCCGAAGCCCGCTACAAGCAGCTCCGTTTATCAGAAGTCCCTGCAGGCTCACGCAAGGTTTGCCTGAACGGAAGCAGCTGCCCCGGATTTCTCCGGCACGTTCGAAGGTGTTGAAGAGCTCGCTTTAAAAGCTAGGCCCAGCCTTGTCAGGGCACGACGACAACTTGCCATTACTGCACCACCACCAAAAGCAGCGGCGGCGGCAGCAGCAGCTGCAGCACTGACGGCAGCAGCAGCGACGGCAGCAGCAGCAACCACCACCATCAACAAAACCACCGTCACATGCACCACAAGCGCCACCACCAACACCACTGCGAGGATTACAGTTGTGGTACGCTTCATATTTGTTCCATTAATGTTGCCGTCGCCAGTAGTGTTGAACGTTGCTACGAAGAAGAACATGATTCTGAGTAGTAATTTTATCACTAGCATTCTTCCAACCCATTGCAAGTGATAAGTACAGCCAGGTCATCATCGTCATTATCATACTATTTTTTGTTTCATTCCCACTGCCAGCGTTGCTGCTGCAGTACCAATTTTCTTCAATTCCCCGAGTTGATGGAGAAAGAGCGAGACAGAGAGACACAGAGAGGGAGAGAGAGAGAGAGAGAGAGAGAGAGAGAAAAAACAAAAGCGATACCACCAAACCTCTAAGGAATTATCAACGATATTACTGGGTTTTGGGGTTTATAGTGCTTGGGATCTAGGGAAATATAGGCGTTAGGGTAGCATGGTTCCGAGGGGCTTTCATCCCAGAGCGACAGCGACGAAGCTTACCCTAGGTTAGTAGGGAATGATGGAATGGGGTACAATTATAACTACTATTACTACCATTCTTCCATTCCCTACACCCTAAACCCTAAGCCCTAAAACCTAAAACCCTAAAACCCTAATACCCTAAAACCCTAAAACCCTAAACCCTAAACCCTAGCTACTAAGCAAAGGTAGGGAAGTGGGGGTCTCCAGGTGCCGAGGCCCAGGCGGCCGCGGAAGCCATCATCAAGAGGAAGCTGATGGAGTGGGCCGAGAAGGCAGGATGTAAAATGGGCCTTTAAGGGATCTATAGGGGGATCTATGGTAGGGGGCCTAAACAATTATCTATACCATTTTAGGGGTTCCTCATTGTCAATAAGTGAAATTATGGTATAATATAACCCTCTAATGATTAAGGCCCCTATATTAGTCTAGATTGAGTGGAGTCTGAAGCCGAATTGGGGTTGCGTCTATGGATCGCTTTACGGTAGACTCGCCTGGAGCTGAGGGTTGCAAGCTTTCGAAGGTTTAGGGCCTTTAGGGCATTAGACCCCAAATTCCGAAGCTGGCTAGGGCAGCTTTGGAGATGCGTAGCACAGCAAAGCCTGTCCGGAATAGAGGCCTGAGTACGTAGCCGTATCAGTGCTTTATAGGCCGCATGACTGCGGTAGAAGGTACCCTTGCTAGCAAGGCCCGCATTTGAACTCCGTGCCTGTGACGCGCTAGGGGGTTCAGCACAGTTCTACGGCTCCTGTGTCGCATCAGGACCCTTTTCTGGCACTTGGAGAGCTAACATGCACAGGTCCTTGTACACACACCTCAGAGCTTGAGCTAACCTTCCATCTCGCCTCTCTGCTTCATCTAACATCGTTCCACCATATTGATCCTGGGTAGATGGCATCAGAAAAGTTAGGGACATGTGATTTAGGTCAACTCGAAACACAGACCCTGCTCTTTCGGGTCTGTGTCAGAGTCCCTTGTTTTCTGAAGCTTTCACCATCATCATCATCATCATATGGGTGGTTGTCAAGATTAGGGTCCCTTCTTGGTTACCCTAAATATTTGGTGCCGTATTTTATGAGGGACCCAAAAAGGGACCATACTAGTGACGACCACCCATGAAATTATGTTGATCATGGCTAGAGCCGTGGCAGCAGCTGTCATCCTGCGAACTACACTGCCCCCTGCCCGAAAAAAAGATGCCAAACGCTGAACACCCAAGCTACTAACCTCCAAACCCTAAACCCCCTCAATTGCCGAGCCCTAAACCCCAAAGTCCTTTAGTTACTAAACACTAAACCCTCAACCTCAAAGCCACCAAACCCTAAATCCTGAGCCCCGAAGTTGCTGAACCCTGAAAGCTTAAAACCCCGATGGCCGCAAAAGAGATGCAATGCTTGCATCTGCGCCCCCTAAACCCTAAACCCCTAAGCCTTAGCACCCTAAACAGCTTCCTCAGGATGCCTACAAGCCCATCACCGACTACATCTTGGCCTAGGGCTCAAAGAGTTCAGGGTTTAGGACGTTTAGGGTCGCTCAACTAGTTTCGGGTTTAGGCTTTAGGTTCTAGGGCTCTTTAGGGTGTAGGGTTCAGGGTTTAGCGTCTAGGGCTCAAAGAGTGGATTAGGGGTGCTCTCTTCCGCAAACTGAGATGGCGGTGCAAAAACTCTTATTACCATATGTCCTGTTTGCATTTCACCTACTACTGTTTAAGTAGTATCTTGCTATTCTTGTTCGTGCTTCATTAGTAGAATTAGTATTCGTATTTCTATTAGTATTGCTCTTAGTTCTTGCTGTTATTGCTATTGTGATTGCTGTGAGATTATGACAGCGGTTATTCGCCCGAGAGCAGCCAAGCCGGACGCCCAGAGTTCCAGGTTTGCTGCATCACTGAATGTTGGGGGTTTAGGTGTTTACTTAAAGGATCACGGGACTTAGTAACTAGGGTTATAATTAGGGTAGCTATACTTATAACCCCAATTAAGGTACTTATAACCTTACTTACTAAGTCCCATGACCCTCCAAGTAGGGTTTAGGGCTGTTAGGGATCCTCTTCATCCTGCGGCTCGGGTTTCCTAATGCAAACAATCAATGTCTTAATGCAAACGACAGTTATACTAAGAACCATAATGATAATGACAGCGAAATGTTAACAATCATAGTACTACATTCATAACAGTACTGATACTGATAATCGCGATAATGATCCTAATTATTTTGATTATGATTCGTATTACTATGTTGGAAGGGATGCTCTGACAAAGTATGCTTTCTTCATTCTGAACCACGAGAAGCCGTCAACCCGGGTTTCTTGATCGTGGTGCTTGTCGATGGTGGTCAGCACTGCTTGGCTGTCACGGAGAGAACTCATTACTTAGCACATGGGTGGTTGTCAAACTTGGGGTACCTTTTTGGGTCCCCATTATGGTACGACACTTAGTATTTAGGGTACCCAAATCAAAAAGGGGCCCTAGTTCTGACAACCACCCATGTGCTCAGTTGATGGCTGCATGGAGCTAGTATTGTTTAGGGTTTAATGGGGTTGTTTTCGAATCGACTTAGATTAGTTCTTGGCAGGTTTCAAGATCTCAAGGCTTAAAGGCTCAGAACGTGCTTCCTTGTTTTGTTCCGAGTCTGCCACCTGCCTTGCAGGTTGATGAGCAAGCGGATAGGTGATAGGTGGCAAGATCTAATCTAGAGAAGCAGGACGTCTCTAAATGTGGGAGTGTCCGAAAATAGGGGACCCTGATATAGTACCATTAAATTGTAGGATCCTTATTATAAGGATTCCCAAAATAAGGACCTCAAAATACGGACCCCAAAATCAGGACCCCAAAGTAAGGTACCCCAAAGTTTCGCAAAAACTCCCAAATCTCGAACATCTGCAGCTCGCCTGCCCTACGCCAGATTTGGAGCGAACCTTGTGGAAATGTCTCCCGAAACCCCTGCCGCAAAGGTACGGTGTATAAGGGATCTATCGGGCTCCTTAAAGGGATCGATAGGGTTTAGGGTTTAGGGCCTACTTGGGAGGATCATGGGACTTAGTAAGTAAGGTTATGAGTACCTTAATTGGGATTATGAGTATAGTTACCCTATAATGGTGTATAAACCGGTTTAGGGGGTTTAAGGTTTAGGGTTTAGGGTGGGCTTTGGAGTACCCTACTTTACTACTTTTTTCGGATCTGTTACGTAGTTAAAGGAACAAATTATGAATAAAATCTATAGTACATGGTTACTTCAAAGCCCAGTGAATGATAAATCGAGGAAGGTCTCGTGATTGCCTTTTGTTAGTTCACGATCTCTTCGTCTGCGGCTGCCTCGCCATGCTATCAACAACCAGGCGAGCCGCAAATCCAAATGCCTAAACCCTAAATAGACGAAATCCGGCGAACCCAGTCCCCTAAGGCCAACTCTAGAACCCCAAACAGCCTTACCAACACCGTGTAATATTGGTGGCTTAAATAGTTAGAATAGAGGTTTTGGGGTAGATTCTACTATAATCATAATCGGGAACCCCCAAAATAGTATTGGTAACTATATAGACCCCTATACTTGGAGGATCATGGGATTCAGTAAGTCAGGCTACAGGTACCCTAATTGGGGATATACGTAGTTGTTTGTACCGTTACCCTAATTATAACCCTAGTTACTAAGTCCCATGATCCCCGTTATAGAACCCCTATAGATCCCTTTAAGGAACCCTATTATAGAACCCTATAGTACCCTTGTTAAATGCTAGAGCCCCGGGTCCGTCAGGTTCCGATGAAGTTCGCTTCCAAATTGATCGGCCCACACGGCTGCGTCATCAACCAGGCCCGGCCTTGGTCGGAGGCCTCAGAAGGTGGGATGAAGGTAGGTGGGATTCAGGATCCCTTACACAAGAACTCTTATTTGGGAATATGCCACCTACCTTTTGAGGCCCCCGACTTGGGGATCGCAGAAATCCCAGAAAGACTACACTCCCAAATGGGGGTTTCCGAACATTAGGGGTACCTCATTTGGGGGTTCTCATCCATGGGGATCGCAGAAATCCCGTTTAAAGGAACATGGGACTAAACGAGGGTCATAATTGGGGTAACTAGACTTATGACCCCAATTAGGGTACTTATAACCGTACTTACTAAGTCCCATGATCCTCCAAGCAGAAGAGTTCCTGTATGCAACTCCCAAATGGGGGTTTCAGAACATTCGGGGTACCTTATTTGGGGGTTCTTATAAAAAGGATCCTACTATTTAGGTACTATATCAGGGTCCCGTATCTTCGGAAATCCCCAAATGGGTGGTTGTCAAAATATCGGTCCCTTTTTGGGTCCGTACTGTAATACGGCACCTACTTTTTCGGAGGGATCCTAATTTTGACAACCACCCAGATAGGGGCCATGAAACTGGACGAGGGGTCCCCTGATTTTTCACGGTGTAAGGTTTAGGGTTTTAGGGTTTATGGTTTAGGGTTTTAGGGTTTAGGGTTTAGGGGCTTCAAGTCGAGGAGTTGTCGTGCACTATGTAAGCGCCCTAAACCCAAACACTGAACCCCAAACCCAAGCCCAAACCCCTCATCCCTACTGTAAACCCAAGCTAACAATTCCCAAACCCTGCCACAAGAACAACTCTAACCCCTAAACCCTAAACCCCTAAACCCTAAACCTCTAAACTCTAAACCTTTAAACCCTAAACCCCTAAACCCTAAACCTCTAAACTCTACACCCCTGAGCCCTAAACCCCTAAGCCCCGTAAACCCTAAGCCAAGATGAGAAATCTTTTCCAGGTGAAGGATGCTTGCGGAGTGACTGCACGGAGCTGAGCCATCACTTACCTCTGGTTAGTACTAGTAGGGAATGGAAGAATAGTAGTAAAAGTAGTTATAATTGTACCCCATTCCTCCATTCCCTACTAAGCAAAGGTCAGATCAGCAATTCCGGGACGCTTCCTTGGAAGCTAAAGGTGGGAAATAAGCACTAGTAGTATTCCCTTGTAGTCCGCATAAGTCTATCTAGCTATCTATATATATATATATATATATCTATCTATCTATCGGTCTGTCTCATTAGGTGAGTGTGTGGATATATATATATATATGTATATACATATCTGTGTGTGTGTGTGCGTGTGTGTGTGTGTGCGCGTGTGTGTGTGTGTGTGTGCTAGACTGTGCCGCTCATTCCTATTCTGGTCACAAAGGCCAGAGAATTATGAGGAATGCAGCAAGGTCCAGTTTTTTGCTACGAACGTCTGGTGGATTTTGGATTTGAGGAAGGCCCCTAAGGGTTTGGGGCGTAGGATATAGGGTTTAGGGTAGAGGTTTAAGGGTTTGGGGTATAGGGTTTAGGGTGTAGGGTTTGGGGTTTGGGGTTTAGGGTTTAGGGTTTAGGGTTTGGGGTTGGCCATATAGAGCCTAGAAGCTCTATCTTCAAAACCCGACCCCGGGTCGAGACATAAAAGGACCCGCGGTCGTCGCTTTGGGTGGTTTGATTCAGGAGGGAGTTTCCGAAAATTAGGGGTACCTCATTTTGATGTCCTTATACAAAGGATCCTACTATTTGGGGTACTAGATTAGGGGCCCCTATTTTCGGAAACCGGCAGGGGAGCAACTTGTCTCATGGAAGCCCCCTGACGTCAAAAGTGAAGCGATTCGGAAGTGTAGAGCCTGTGTTTCAGGAACCAAACAAAGCTCCCAGCACTACAGAACCCGGATGAAGCCCCACCCGTAGAAATACTATTCATTACAAGAAATCTTCCAAGACCCCTACACACCAACCTACTCCGACGAGCATCGTTTAGAGTGCGAAGGCCAGAATCGATGACGACGAGCACGAGGATCAAACCAGGAAGTTGTATCTCAAAGGCCGCAGTTGTTCGCATTGCAGGCTTCAGGTTAAACATGCGAGCTCTTCTCCTAGAGACTGCAGGATAAGGCCACTGTGCTGTTGGAGTTAGAACGTACGGACGCCTGTAGGTGGCAACTGGCAGCTGGGCATGGAATCATTGGACTCACCGGTTTCTGCCCCCACAACCCAAAACCCCAAACCCTAAACCCTAAACCCTAAACCCTAAACCCTAAACCCAAAACCCCAATCCAACCCTAGACCCTAAAGCCCCTTGAACCCCGAAACTGCACCCTGATACCCCTAAACCCTACCTGGACCCTAAGGAACCTACCTTTTTTAGGGTTCCCTAATATGATTTCTTTATATAAGTCCTTAAAAAGGTAGGTTACGTGGGCTTAAGGTAATAACTAATACCACCTCACCTTAAAATCATAAACCCTATGACCGCACAAGTGAAAGGGACCCAAAAAGCGCGGGGGAGGTCCTGGTCCTGGTCGGCATTTGCCATTGTCAGCCGTGCAGTTTCGTGATCATTATGATAGGGCCCCAAGAAGGGTTTAGGGTTTAGGGATATGGCCCCCCCCCAAAAAAAGGGTTTAGGGTCTGGGGATGGGGCCTTCCAAAAAGGAGCCTCAACATAACGCCTTGAAGCCTCGCCCCTTGTGGGGACATGTTTCAAGAGTTCATGTTGCCGAGAATGCATTAAGAAGGGGATGGGGGCTCCAAATATCATATTTATCCACGGGCTACTTAGTATAATCTTCGTATAAAATGTCCCCTATTCTAAATGTCTAAGGCCCCTAAACCCTAAACCCTTTAAGGAACCCTATTATAGAACCCCATAGTACCCTTGTTAAATGGTAGAGCCCCGGGGATTAAGACCTTTCTGCTTCGTCATGCAAAGAGGATCCTGAAGTCTAGCTCGAGGGAGCCCGAAATCACGACTTTAGTAGTAGTAGTAGAAGTAGAAGTAGAAGTAGTAGTAGTAGTAGTAGTAGTAGTAGTAGTAGTAGCTAGCTAGGGCTTTGGGACATTTTATGTTTGCTCTTATGGGGCTTAAGAGGATCTTACCTACAAATATGTTTCAAAGGCTTTAAAAGCACCTCCTAGCTATAGAGGCCTCAATAGTGGCCAATATTATTCCTTAGGCTTCCGTATCATAGGTATACTGACAAGGTGCCCCGGAAATCCTATTTTCTTTATTGAGGCCCCAAGAATGGGGCAGCCTAAACTTGCCTTCCATAACAGAAGAGCCGTTTTCAGTTTGGTGAATACGGATTCGTTGGGTTGGATCCCGGGGCCACTGAGTCCCTCGGTGCCAATCCTGATGCCCCGATGGTAGTATCACATACTATGATATACTATAGTATGCTGGAATAGACTATAACATACTATAATAGACTATAATGTCGTAGAATATACGATCCTATAAGGTACCATAACATACCAACGGGTGACAGGCACACCGGATGGCGTGGCACGTGCCCGGGAGCAAGTGGCAAGCTCGGCACGGGATGCTAACCCTAAACCCTGAACCCCGACGTCAAACACTAGTCACTAGACTCCGCTGGACTCTACAAGCCCAGGCGGCCCCAGGCAGTAGTGTTGGTATTTCGGAGGTTTGACTTTCAGTTCCAGTAGGGGCGGAGTTTCAGATCATGCTACATAGGGTGCCTTAATGTAGACCCCATCAGCCCTAACCCCAGTGAAGCCGAAGCCCCAAACCCCAAAAAGAGGAGCTTGTCGTCGCGATCCCTGACTGTAGACCCTGATCAACAAACACCCTTTTTGCAAAGGCCCTGATACGATTGATGATATAAATCCTGCATTACCCTAAGGATTCTGAACTATGGGAATTATGGTATATTCCTTATTTTGGGTAATGCAGGATTTGCATCATCAACCGTAGCAAATGGTGATCCTTACATGTAAAGCCCGCTGCCCGGGTGATCGGACTCGTGTTATCCCTGAACCCCAAACCCTAACTCCCTAGTATCATACTCCTTGTTTCATCCGAGGGGTTGAGGCTTTAGTCTTAGTAGCGGAGCAGGTAACCTTTGATTAACCTTTTGAGGGCTATATCACCCCACCCAACATTGAAGGGGTCAGGGACTCAGTTTGCGTGAAAATTGGGTGTACCCTATGTTGTGGTCCTTTATAGTAGGCATCCTACTATTTAGGGTACTATGTCAGGGTCACCCTTTTTTTCGGAAGCTTCTATAGTGTTCCTTAACAGTTCTTTATGAAAGTTACCCTATGGCACAACCCCCTGTTTGAATCAATGAGGCGCCTACAAGATTCCTTGCATCAGAAACAAACTATACAGAGAGCGAACACGAGCAGAATCCGAAAGTGTCAACGAAACCCAACGGCAGCATCTTAAGCCCAAGCCCTAATCAGGAACCTTGCCTTAAACCCTAAGTTCTAATCCCCAGAACTAAAGTCTCTGAAGCTTAAACCCTAAACCCCAACCCCCAGAATCAAAATCCTTTAGCCCAAAATCTTTAGACCCTATAAACCGCAGAACCAAAATCCTAATATAGGGGGTCTAAAGAATTACCTACACCAATTTGGGCCCAAAACCTGATTCTAATGGCCCCTGTATTATTCCCAGAACCGCAAGCCAAAAGCAGCCCCTACAGAATCGATCGCATCGCCGCTGTCCTTGGCCCGAGTCTTTCGTTTGTCTGACAACTTAATATAGGTGCCTTAATAATTAGAATAGGGTTTTGGGGCCCATTATACTATTATACTTAGAATAAGGAACCCCCGTAATAATGTAGGTAATTATTCAGGCCCCTATATTACTTTTCTGGCTGCGGAGAAGACGTTGGGGTTTTCAGTTTAGTGTCTAGGGTTTAGGGTTTAGGGTGGGGGTGAGGTTTAGGTGTGATGAAGTTCAAGGTGGTAGAATAACTGTGCAAACTCAATCACTTGCGCTCGCAGTCACAAAGCCTTACGCCCATACTATCCAGGTTGCATATGTCTTGCAGCCTTAGCCATAGCCCTAAGCCCCTGAAACCGAAACTGCCAGAAACCGAAAGCCCCTAGCCCCCGACCCGAAGTCGAAGACTAGAAACCGAAAACTCAAATGCCTGGCACATGGAAAGCAGCGCAGCTCTAGCATTGCGGAGCTTTCATGCCTCGGAGACTCAGCAGGTCAAGGTCTAGGTTCAGTGATTGGAGGGACGGGTTGAGGGTTTAGGGTTCAGGGATTCAAGGGTTAGGGTTCAGGGTTTACGGTTCAGGGCTTGTGTTGGGTTTGCGCGGGGCTGTGGTTGCCGTAGCCTGTCCGGATTTGGGTTTGGTGGAACAACTAGAATCCAAGAGCATCTTGTGGATGCCAACGAGAAGATCAGCAGACAGAAGAGTTAATTACGCCACAGCCATGTCAGGTTATTCATTCTCGAATTCCGCACAACTAACGACACAACAACAGCAGCAACAGCAACAGAACCGGCAACTCCACCACCGCCGCCGCCACCGCCACCATCACCGCCACATTCCAGATTCGGTGACAGGCTTTGCCAGATTTGAGACAATGGCGGGCTTGCAGTGCAAGCCTGGGGCCTGGGGTCCAGCCCGCAGGAACCAGACCCGCCGGTGCCGCAAATGGCCCGGCCCGAATGCAGATACGGCGCCACCCGGAGTCTGCAGACGGCGTGGCCTGGCTCCGCGGCTTCCCTCCGGCAGCTTCAGACAAAGCTCCCGTCGCTCTGCGCTGGCTGGGAACTCCTTCGGCCGCCATCAAGGCATGATCTCATGGTTGTATTTATTTGATTGAACGAATGGTTGATTGACTGATTGCTGCTATACTGACTGAGTGACCTTTGACTGAGTGAATGAGTGAATGAGTGAGTGATTGGTTTGTTGACTGGCTGAACGGTGAAATGCATCGAATTATTTACCGCTTGGTTGGTTGATGGTTTGATTGATTGATTGATTGATTGATTGATTGATTGATTGATTGATTGAGTGTTTACGTGATTGTCTGGTTGCTTGGTTAGTCGCTTGGTTCCTTGCGTGGCTACTTGCTTGGTTGCCGGCTTGCAAGGTTGCTCGCTTGCTCACGCGCTGGCTCGCTTGCTTGCTTGGCGGCTTGACTGGTTGACTGGTTGGTTGATTGGTTGCTTGGGTGGTTGGTTGGTTGGCTGATTGACTTGGATGACTTGGTTGGTATTGGTTGGTTCGTTGGTTGATTGGTTGACTGATTGAGCGGGTGAGCTGGTTTACTGATTGGTTGATCTGCTGAATGACTGCCTGATTGATGGGCTGTCCTTGTGATGTCTTGTCAAATTTGATAACAACCGTATATATGGTTAGACACAGAAACTTCCCTTAGTGGCAGCTGACGTCCCACAGTGTGGGTGCGCTCACCGCGCCACAATCTTCGTGTTTTTTGAGGATGGGGGCAGCGTGGCTTGTCGAGGTTGGAGTTTTGGGGCAGCATTGCTCTAAAGCGCACTTGTCTACTTGACGCACGTGTCCTGTGTCTGCACGTGCGCAAGGTCTATACATGGGTGCTAGGCTTCGCCTGCATGCATCATTTGCTACAAGGGGCTTGGGGTTTTGCCAAGCGTTGACTATCTCCTGCGAACATTTTGGATGTCGTGTGGCCTGCTGCACATCATCTGCAGCAGCATCGGGGGCAAGCCCCCCGACAACGAAAGGAAGGGCAGGCTCGGAGTGTTGTTTACAAGGACACTTTCTGCTTCTGGCTTTGTAATGCACCACCCTTTTCAATTCCGCCATGAGCGATACCGCAGACGAAATCGTTAGCGCGGACGGCGAGGACGAGCAGTGCGAGTCAAGTTGCGGGCGACGGCGGGGGTGAGAAGCGTCAGTTCTGTCAAGACGCGGCCTTGTGCAGCAGATCGCGGACTTGAAAGGCAGCTGCCAAGCTCTTGAAGGCCAACAAGAAGGAATGTCAATGATGCGTGCCACCCTGAGCACATGCTCTGAGAGAGCTCAGCAGCTTCTCCTGCTGAAAGCACGGACGAGCCCAGAGCTACGGCCAAAGCCCATGCCAAGCTAGGGCGTATGCTCAAGACAAAGCCAGAAGCCCTGACAGCGACGCGAAAAGAGGGCAGGACCCTCATCCTCTGAGGGGCAGGACCCGACCCCAATGGCGACGAAAAGACCGTAGCTGGGAAGGACAGGATCCGAATCTTTCTAAAGGGGCAGGGAACATACCCCCGACGACTACTTTTGAAAGAGGACAGGGCCCGAATGCTCTGAAATCCTTCTGAGGTGGCAGGACCAAAACCCGCGACGACAATGTGTATTGGAGGACAGGACTCTTATCCCTTTACGACGAGACCACATGCTCTCATGCCGATTTCTATACCATATCAACGCTACGTTGTAAAGTCTTGTTGAGTAGAGCAAACCCGCCAGCTGTTTGAGGCTTTCCCAAAACCGTACTGAATTTGAACTGTTCAATTAGTGGCAACTTCGTAGGGCGCAACCAAGTTTCCCAAAGCCATTTCTCATCCAAAGCAGCATAGGCAGCGATTTGGCACTGAAAGCCCAAATTGCGCGTTTTGCGTTCCCAACTTTTAAAGGAGAACGAAAAGAAGCGATTCGCACTTGCGATCCCAAATCGCAACGCTTTTTGATTTGGCGATTTAATCTACTCAGATTGGGACTGGGTTGTCGAGAGCCGGGCTTTGGGCAAAACAGAAGTTCAGGTCTTTGTATTGAAGGGGAACATTCGCATTGCTCGAGGGCAGCAAAGAGCAAGCGGCTGTGGGGCTACGATGAAGCTGTAGTGTTTCTGACACTAGCATGTCTGACGAGACTTTGACCGTTGCTATTGCTGGCCTGGGCTTGTACCTGTGAGGTTTAGCTTCTGAAGTTGGGACATGCATTCTTCACAAGCCATTACCAGCAACGACGACGACAAGAATCACCACACCATTGCAGAAGAAGCAGAATAACACCAACAACAGCATTTGCCATTGTTATTATTACTTTATTACTATTACTTCTTCTTCAACATTAAGTTGAGAAAAACATGTCGTCACCGGTATAATCAATCATAGTAAAAGCTCTTTGTGGGCCAAGGAAATGGCGGCTGGTCCTGGGAGCGCTTAGCACTTCGGCTGCCTTAAACCGTGAACCCAAGCCTTGAACCCCGAAACCTTCAGGCTAAACCTTGGATCTTAAGCCGGAAACATCATAAATATAGTTATTCGTATATATATATATATATATATATATATATCCTATATATATATCCTATATATATATATATCCTAAATTTACACACTTTGAAACCCCTGAGTTCCCAAACGCATGCTTTGCACCTTTTGGCCCCTGGACGCGAGTCTCCGCTCCCGGGAATCACAGGCTTCTCAGGTGTGGGCTGCTTAGTGTTAGGGTTCAGGGGCCCAGGGTTGCAGATGTTGCCAACATGCATCGGGTCACTTTGAGTGTCCCAACTTGACGTGGGACTGTATAATAGCCCCGTGCTGCTAAGTTTAGTCTTGACATGTCCGGGTTCGGTTTCGACGGTTTTCCGTGGAAAAACGATCAGAAGAAAATAAAACGATAACAACAGTCAGGGATAAGCATTTCTATACGGGGCTATTGTACCACCCCACGTGTATTTTGCATGTGTGTATACGCACATACATACAGACAGACATACATACATACTGTCACATGCGTGTACAATTCCGTATGAAAGGGTGAAGGGTTGTGTGTTTGTACACTGGAGACACTTATCTCTGTGTTTAGTATGCAAACCCTGGTCTTGGGAACCTAAATTCCGGACTTCGGGAACCTGCCTTTCAATTTTTGGCTTTGTTGCACCATGTTTGATCCATTGAAACCTAAAAAACAAAAAACCAAGCCATTAAAATTTGGGTTGTTGGGTCATGGTAATCGTTTTAAGGCTGGCAATAAGCCCTTTGGGTTGTTGGGTCATGGAAATCGTTTTAAGGCTGGTCATAAGGGCTTTAGGTGCCACGGTTTAGGGTATAGGGTTTAGGGTTTCAGGAACCCTAAACCCCAAAGCCCTGCAGCCCTAATATCTTTAAGGCCTAAGCTTGACGTCCCTAAAGATGCTGTAGCCAAAGCCGTGCAGCCCTATCTGAAGCTGCAGCCCAAAGCCGTGCAGCCCTGAGTCTAAGGCTTAAGTTTGAAGTCCCTAAAGCTGCAGCTGATAGCCCTGGAGCCTTAAGTTTCGCGGAGGCCAATTGAACTCCCCATCGCTCGTGGGCCACAACCTGGCCCACGAGCGATCGGGAGCTGCATTGGCCTTCAAGAGCGATCGGGAAACAACACGTAGTTTCCCGATCGCTCGTGGAGCATGCTTGAGGTGCCACTGGTCGACCTTTGAGCCTGCCCGCTGGGGTTGCATGGGTTTGAAACTGAAGGCTGCAGGGCTTTCAGCTGCAGCTTTAGGGACTTCAAACTTAGGCCTGCTGGGCTTTGTGCTACAGCTTGAGCGACTTCGAGCTTAGGCCTGAAAGATAGGCTGCGCGGCTTTGGCTACAGCATCTTTAGGGACTTCAAGCTTAGGCTTTAAAGATTTTAGGGCTGCAGGCCTCTGGGGGTTTAGGGGTTTAGGGTTCCCTAAACCCTAAACCGTGGCACCTAAAGCCCTTATGACCAGCCTTAAAACGATTTCCATGACCCAACAACCCAAAGGGCTTATTGCCAGCCTTAAAACGATTACCATGACCCAACAACCCAAATTTTAATGGCTTGGTTTTTTGTTTTTTAGGTTTTAATGGATCAAACATGGTGCAACAAAGCCAAAAATTGAAAGGCAGGTTCCCGAAGTCCGGAATTTAGGTTCCCAAGACCAGGGTTTATGCATTATGTACAGAGGCTCCTTGTAACAGACTTCCCACCGGCGGTTCCCCTTGTAGATACAACTGCGGCCCCGCATGATCTGAACATGCGACGACAATCAGGTCTTGAAATCATACTGCGACCATCAAGCCCAACCTCATTCAGCTGCCGTCCTGAGGCGTGTTCGTGACCGAGGGTGCCCGCCACGGTTACTTCGAAAGCCGCAGGCCCGCCTTCCAGAATTCTGGCGCTTCGGAGTCTTACAGCCACGACCCGTATCGGGCCTTTTCTTGAAGTTTGACTGGTTTCTTTGTTTTAAGTAAGGTTATAGTCCAGTTTATTTCGCATAAGATCAGCCGCCCGAGGGCGGCAGTGGCGACAATGACGGCGCTGATGGAACGGTCTCTGTTAGATCTGGGGCTTCCAGGAACAGTTTTGGCTCCATCGTGCCATTGCCTGTTTCCTTATTCAGTTGAAGGCTGACGTTACATTCTGGCCTAAATGCAAAGGCAAAGCCATGAAACCAGTGTGGTAACAGACTTGAGTTGAACGCGCATCACGGCAAGAACCCACCAACCCATTCATGCACCGAACTCAAGACGTATCAGCTCAAAAACATGCCAGCTGGAAGTAAAAACCAAATCCCTAGGACCGTCCTGACCATGTAGCCCCTCAGCCCCCGGTTTGCCCCTCATCGACTTAAGCGTGTAGATGGCAACGTCCCATTGACTCCCCGTCACACACCTTTTTGCACATCGGGCCACTCAGACGCCACGGAAAAAAGAAGCACGTGCGTTATTGATCCCAACCGGGCCCAAAACCCAATTGTTTACTATCATGGTTCCTGGGGCTATATAGCCCACCTAGATGGAGGGTGGGGGTAGAGTTCCACAAGAACGGTAATGGGATCATATAGCGGCTTAAACAATTGGCAGTATTATGTTGGGTTGGTTCCCTACTATAGTTATAGTATAATAGCTCCCAAAACCCTATTCTAGTTGATGTTTGAGGCCCTAATATTACTGTTACAAAGTACTCCGACCCCCAACATTTCGAGAGGCTCAAGCTGCGTCCGCCCGTGCCACGCAAAGAAAGCGCCGAGGCGTGGCTACCAGAAAGTTACTATATAATAATGGGGCCTGAGCGATTATAATAGGGTATTGGTGGTTCCATATTATAGTTAAACTACAATATACCCTGCAAGCACGCATGTTGCAATATGTTAGTTTTGAGAAAATTAGGGGTACCTTGTTTGGGGGTCCTTGTAATACGGATCCTACTGTTTAGGAATTTGAGGGTATTTTATCAGGGTCCCCTATTTTCGAAAGTTCCAATATGCATACATGCATGCTTGCATGCATAGGCCCATAGCTAGACTAGAGTAGATTAGATAGACAATGATAGACAAAATATGTAGACAGATAGCAGACCACCATACACCCGCTTTCGACGTTTCGGAACGCTTTATCTTGGGTTCGGGGTTGAGCAAACGTCATCTTGCGAGTGTCGAAAGGAGAAAATCCTGGGCCAGTAGAGTCCTCAGGGTCCATGTACCCGAATAGTTTATATTTTCGGCGTCAGAAGGGTCTCACCTCAGAAGGGTCTCCACAACTGTTATAGATATGTGCAACGCTCCCTATCTATGTGTCTATCTCTCCATCCATCGATCCATCTATCTCTCGATCTGGGTATCTCTCCTCATCTACCTATCCATCTATGTATATATATATACACACATATATGTATGTATGTATGTATGTACGCATCTAGGCATGCATTGTGTAGTATCACACAACAAGCGCGAAAGTTGGATCTCCAGAGCATCGGAGATGGGCAAGGCCCAAAGTCATAAGCCCCCGTCTCTGGTTCAGAGTTCGGGGTTTAGGGGTCCGCGGTTGAGCAGCCGGCACCAGGATGAGGTCGAGAAGGCCGAGATCATCAAGAACCAAGCAGCACAGGCCGGGGACCTTGGCCCTAGAAGCCTAAACCCGAACCCTTTCCTTTGGTGCTCAGGCATGGCTTTGAACGCCTGTCATGGTAAGGGGTTGACTTTGGAGAGTGCTGGTCAGAGTCAGTGATTGGGTTCCTCACGTGTGTATGACTGGACATTGTGCGCTGGCATATGGGTAGCGGCTTACAGGCATATATTGCTTGATTTGCAGCGGCTGTCTTTCTGCTGCTTCATTGGCGCTCAACGGGTTTTCGTGTCCAAGGAGGGACTTGGTGGTTTCTGAGCTCTTCAGCACGCGGATGAGCACCCCAAAGCACAGGAAGCTTGAGAACTTCAAGACCGAAGCAAGTAATCATTGTGGATCTGTAACAATTAGTACGTTTATTCCTTCGGGCTCCTTAACCGCACTTTTGCTGATGCTAATTTAGCCTCAGAAATGCTCTTGAAATTATTCGGCTTCTGTATTCGCTGACACCGTGCATTTTGGGTAGGGTAAACCCCAGCAGACCTGTGCAAGCGGAGGTGCTCTTCGATGGTACACAGGAGCCCTGCTCGCTTATTTAGGGGCCGAAATAACTACCAATACCATTGCGGGGGTTCCATATTGTAAGTATAGTATAATGGGCCCAAAACCCTGTTCTAAGTGTTCCGGCCCTTACAGCAGCGGCTTCTGTGAATCCAGCTTCGTTCTTGCGGTTTACTACGGGTTTCATCCGGGTTTGACGAAAAGTAAGTGTTCTGCAGAGATTTGTCGAAGGGTTTTACGCGGTCTTGCTTTGGGGGGTTTACCAGGGTGTAGATAAAGGTGAGCATAAACTGTAGTGTAGGTCTCCCCCGAACAACAACTTCTTGCCATTTGACCAATTTGACCACTTACAAGTTCAGTGGGCAACGAGTTTTTTTGCCGAAGGCTGTTTGTTGGTTGCTTCGGTTATCCTCAATCTGAAGGTTCAGACCCCCGAGCTTTAGGAATCCATGAGCTACAGGATCATGGGACTTAGTAATTAGGGTTATAATTAGGGTAATTATACTTATTACCCCAATTAAGGTACTTATTACCCTATACTGACTAAGTCCCATGATCCTCCAAGTAGCCGCGGTATCGCGTCGCTAAACGAGCCTGGCCTTCTCAGACATGCCGGAATCTCGGGGTCCGAGTACCTACCAATGCTATTCCTCGAACCTCCTTCTTGTAGTTGCAGCAGAAGGTACCCGAAAACCACTATTCCCACTACTAGGCTTCCATACTAAATCCTAGTGCGCCTTGTTATACAACCCTTATAGAAACCCTTCTAGCCCTCTGCTAACAATTCTAACACTGAATCCAACCCGCAAAGCCCCGCTTTGGGAAACGTGTTCCGTTTCATGCTCGCTCTTGCGGAGCCCAGCCAGAATGGAAAGGGCTCCCTAAACCCTAAACCGGGCAACACCACTCAGCTCTTGACCGAACGCTTTCGTTTACAGCCTCAGCCAGCTCTTGACCGAACGCTTTCGTTTACAGCCTCAGCCAGCTGGTCGCCAGATTCCAAGATGTGAGGGACCTTAAGTTGAACAATACATCTATATATTGTTGTTAATTGTTTTTTTATTGTTGTCATCATTATTATAGATCTTATATATATATATATATATATACACATACATACATGCATGCATACATACATACATACATACATACGTATGTATACGGTGTTCCAGACTCCGCAAATGCCCAAGCCATGCCAGACCGGCCTTGCCCGAAGCTGAAGCCCAAAGCCCAAATTCCCCAGACCCCACATCGATCAGGCTGTATTTTGAGTTTAGGGCGTCCTCTTGATCCCAGTCCATGGTTTGCAGCGGGGTCTTATCACAGGAAGGCTGCGACACTTACGATGCTTGCACTATAATATTCCCCCCAAGCCGTCTTTAGACGATGACAAGGGCCCGGTATCATCGGGTCGGGCTAACGTAATCGGAGCCTAAATAATATATCAATGCTATTTTGTGGGGGTTCCTCATTATAACTATAACTGTATAGCAGAATATACACCAAAACCTCTATTGTAATCACAAAGGTCCCTACAGAAAAAGGGTCTCTCTGTCTCATCAGGAGCGCTGCAGCTCCAGCGTGGAGGCAGGCGTCTGCGGAATTATTTTAAGGCTTTCGGTCCCAGACCTTCCACAAAATCCGCTATTCAGGAATATGCCTTAAATAGGATCCCTGATATGGTTTTTGGTATCGGGATGGTCTGGGGTAGGCAGATTGCGAGTCTGTTTCAACTGTGTTGCACAATTGAATACACATACGTGCATGCACGCGCAAAAGCATGACATGTATCTGCATCCTTTGCAACGTGGCTAGGTTACTACAACGTTTATGGTTACTTGTTCAGTTGAGCCGCGCTGCCTCTTGTCTACAGTGTTAAGGTGTTCCGGTGCCTCGGTTTCGATATGCTTCAACTTTGCCTGTAAACCCTACCTTAACCCTGAATAACCTATCTTTTTGGGGTTCCCGATTATGATTCCCTTACGCAAGTCCTCAAAAAGGTAGGTTCTTCAGGGTTAAGGTAAGCCCGAAACCCTAAACCCTTAACCCGAAACGAGGTTGTGCCTTTGGTGAGCACCGAAGGCCACAGTCAAACTCGGGCTCCAGTAACCAAATAATAGTCATGTGGGAGTTTCCGAAAATTCGGGGCACCTTACTTTGTGGTCCTTATAATACGGATCCTACTATTGAGGGTGCTAGATCAGGGTCCCCCCCATTTTTGGAAACCCCCATGTAACTAGCTATTTACGTATTGATTAGCCTCCAATCCTCAAACTAAGTGGGGAGTCGCGGACCCACGCAGAACCTCTGCCAACATCTCCCGGGCTCAGAATCTTAAAACCACCGCAAATCCCCATACCCTGAACTAAACCCCAATTCTCCTACTAGTATATTATTGTATAGTATAGTGTATATATATATAGAGAGAGAGTATATTAGAGTATAGAATAGTAGGTTATAGTATCGCTTGCTATATATTTATTAAGGCTTAAGGATATCGGGTGGTGTTTTTATCACTCCCGTCTTGCAGAAGCTGCCGGAAGACGTGCAGACGCTTTGCAAGCAGACGCGGCCGGACAGCTTGTTGCCTGGCAGGTCGTAGGGTCTAGGGCTTAGGGGGTTAGGGTTCAGGGTTAATTTACGGAGCAGTTGTGGTTGTTGTTCCTTTTGGGTTTCGGGGTTTGCGATTTAGGTCTGGGGGATCGGGGTGCATGTTCGAATGAGCTTGTGGAAAGGTTTCTTTTCGAAGCATACACAGCCTTCTCAAGCCCACTTTGGTTGCAGCTTCGGGTTTCGGTCCCAAACCCTAAACCCCTAAACCCTAAACCCCTAAACCCTAAACCCTAAACCCTTTTTCTTATCGCGATGTCGGTCCCCAAGGTGCAACTTCGCGAAGCCGTAGGCCCTAAACCGTCCTCCGCAGAGCCCAGAGCCCCCCATTAGGCCCCCCCCAAAGGATCGAAAGTAATGACCCGATATGAAGAACAGGGGGTTTGAGAGGGCTATACTACAATTCCTATGTAAGGAAGCACAGAAAGTAATGACCCGATATGAAGAACAGGGGGTTTGAGAGGGCTATACTACAATTCCTATGTAAGGAAGCCCAGAAAGTAATGACCCGATATGAAGAACAGGGGGTTTGAGAGGGCTATACTACAATTCCTATGTAAGGAAGCCCAGAAAGTAATGACCCGATATGAAGAAGAGGGGTTTTGGACAGGCTATACTACAATTCCTATGTAAGGAAGCCCAGAGACATGGTTTGGCTTTCCGAGTTCCTTCTCTAGCCGCTGCAAGAGTTGCAAGGTCCTCCTTCGAGTCTTCGCTCGGGTTCGTGTAGATGAGGGAGTTTCCGAAAATAGGGATACCTTATTTTGGGGTCCTTATAATAAGGATCCTACTATTTAGGGTGCTAGATGAGGGGTCCCCCATTTTCGGAAATTCCCATGAGGACCCTGGAGGCACAGGACCGGAGGCACCCGAAGCCAAGCCCTTCCAAGCCGCTTGAACCTGAGAAACAGCTTCTGCTCTCCTTCGTAGCGGACATCTGCGGATGGTTTCCTTAACTAGGATGACCAGTACTACCCTTATTCCCTTTTTGTAGTCCTAGGTTCCTTATAAAGTTACCCAATACCAAAAAGAGAGGCCTTTTTCTTCTTAGGTTACTGGGTATCCTAGTTAATGTCTTGTAAGACTTAAGCTTTCTAGATGCTCTAGGATGCGATGCCCGAAACTCAAGCATCAAATCGCAACTGCGAGGCTCGATGTAATGCTGGAGAAGCTGCAGAACAGCTCTCAAGTGGCTTGCATGAGTTTGCTTTATCTGGGAGTTTCAGACAATAAGAGACTCCATGATCGACTTTACAAGTGATCCTTATGAGCTAGAAGAGATTTCTCTGAAAGCCCATGTGGTTCTCTCCACGGAATGCAGGGATGCGGAACTATCTGCCAAGAGGATCGGTTTGAGGCAACAGAGCTATGCGATAGGGTGACCCAAGCCACACTAGACTGACACGAGACATTGAACTGCAATCGCGAGGATTCGATTACCGGTCTAGGGTACAGGGTGTAGGCTTGGAGGAACACTCCGCTGCCGCCGCGGTAATTGTCGTCGTGGTCATCGTCGCTGTCGCCCTGGTCGTCGCGGTCGGTCGTCGTGGTGCTTGGTCGCACTCGGAGTCTGTGCCACGGTCCCGCATCCCACATCCGGTGCCTGACGGATGTTCAGGGATTAAGGTTTAAGGCTTGGGGCTGATAAGTCCTTGCAATCGTTTGGTTTATCGGCTGCGGGGCTTTGGGCTTGTTACTATGGTTGTGGAGTTTTGGCGGATTAGGCACATCATCAAAATAACTGCTTGCGCATGCTTTGGCTGCTGCTAGGCCCTCTGCTGCAACACGGCACATCCCGCTAATACAGGGGCCTCAATACTAAGAATAGGGTTTCGAATTTGGGGGCCCCTTATACTAGAATCAAAATGAGCTCTCGAGATGGACCCGTTTTGCACGTTTTGAAGTCTTGTCAAATTTACGGAAAAGCAGCTTACCTACAGACCCCTAGATTCGAATCCAGACCAAAGATCCAAGTCTTTAGGCATTACGGCTTTAAGGTCGAAAGTCTAGTACCCATGTTGTTACTGTTACTGTTGCTGCAAATATTACTCCGATGCCTTGAGCAACAAAAAGCCCAGACATGAGAAGATGTGCTTTTTGTGTGCAGGACGTGGCTCTCTGGCTCTGCTCGGCTGCAGAAGGTACTATCGACAAGGACACTGTTTGTTTCGGAGTCCGTGTCTGTGGATAGACTCCCAACTGCGGTTGAGTATAGCTTAGCTACCTTACTTAGTAGCTGAGTGGATACACTTTACACTTTTTGGGATAATATTGCCCACTATAACACTGATCGTGTACACTTTTGGGGGCTTATGAACTCAGCAACTGAGCTACCAAGAACCATACGGGCTCTATTCGGGTCACCTTGGGGGGCAAGGGGGGGGGGGCTGGGTCGTCGTTTTCGTTCAGCATGATTGCACTGATGGAAGAATTTCAACGGTCGTGGACGCGTTGCTGGCGTGGAGGGGCGAGCCAAATCCAGAAGTCGGAAGTTTCCAGATCTTTTGATACGGAATATAGAGTATAGACTATAGACTGTACAATATCGAATTTTGACTCTAGAATAAACATAGAATATGGAAAAGCATAGACTTCATGTAGGATATAGAGTAATACTCTATATCCTACATGAAGTCTATGCTTTTCCATATTCTATGTTTATTCTAGAGTCAAAATTCGACAGTATGGTATGTAGAATATAGAATCTAAACTACCAAAAGAAAAAGCATTTTGTATGCAATATAGCTGCCAGAGGTTGGATGCAGGGGGAGGCCTACATGTTTTGCAGTAGACGCTTCAAGAATCGCAGAAGTATGGCTACACGGTTTAGGGTCTTGAAGGTTTAGAGTTTTGGGTTCAGGCTTGATGCAGGGATGCTCGGCCTCCCACATCGCGAAGCTTTTTGCCGCGACAGGTCACACTTAGTAGTGCTATCACGTTGCAGTCCCCACATCGTAATCGTAGCATATATTCTACCGCGACACCCATTGGTGGTGCCTTTTCATGTCTCAAGGAGTGGAGTACGCGCTACTCAGAGCGACTATCCTGCGATGAAGCCGCAACGAGCACAATCGGCCGCTCTTGCTCCAATGAGGCTTTTCTTAGAAATGTGTGTGTGTGTGTCAGCAACGTTTAGGGTTTAGGGTTATGGCTTAGGGACCCCTAAACCCTAAACCCTAAGTGCCGAGGCTTCGCTTGAATACGGACCCTCCACGACTCGTCAGTAGCATGCGCGGGGCCCAAACCCTGCCGAAGAGACGAGGGAGCCGAGGCTCTCTGAAGCTTTCAGGTCCAGTGCTCGATGATGTAAGATGGGAACCTGATTAAGAAACCCTGGGTCTTGATTAGGGTTCCTTATATGAATCCCATTGTTTGGGGGTTATATAGGGCCAGGGTTTCTTAATCAGGTTCCTACAATAAGATGGACAGCATCAGGTCCGACACATCACACCGAAGGCCACTTTCCGAAAAGAAACACTAGGACCTAGAGTAGGCCCTTATTCCCTTTTTTGGGGTTCAGGTTCCCTTATAAGCCCCTTTAAACCAAAAAGGGCACCCTTTTTATTCAAAGGTTACTCTTGGGTCTAGAACAGCCTTTCTCAGAACCAGAAAAGCCCAGAGAAGACAGCCAGGTCGAAATACGTCGTAGTGGTTTTCCCTTAATAAAAGCCAGAAAGTTGGAATATGATTATCCTAAACCCTTTATGGTAAATTATAAGGTATCCTACCCTGAAACCATATTCCAACTTTCTGGAGTTCCCTTTAGAGTGCTTTCATCATTATAGCACTTATCAACAGCAAAGCAACCACCAACCAGGAGGCAAATCCTAGAGCCTAAACGCTAAGGGGCAATGCTGGATCTTGACAGTCACGCCACCTTAGCTGGGAGAGTCTACGCTGCTGCACCCTGGCCAGCAACGCCTGCCTTGCTCAAAGCCTTGGTCCCAAGAGACTCTAGCACACCCTTAATTAAGGAATATACCTTAAATCATATTAGGGATCCTACTATAATTTAAAAAAGACTCCGTAATTAATCAATATTGGAGTCTCTTGGGTCCTAAAATATTTCAGGTAGGCGCAGCCGTCCTAAGTGGCTATACCCATAGGCTCCATAGTAGTTCCTTTTTGGAGTTCATAAATAGAATCCTATAAGGTAATCCCCAAAATCAAGTACTATGGAGCTTATGGGTAGAGGGTGTTTATCGGGGTTGGTAAGTATTTATTTAATGAAGGGTCTCTTGTGACATGGGCATCGCAACCTTCTTGCTTTGTGGCCCAGGTTTCCAGCAGGCTCGACAGTTCTATTCTAAGCCTCGTACAAAACCCTAGTCTGATGAATATGGGAGTTTTTCAAAATTAGGGGGGCGCCTTCTTTTGGTGGTCGTAACTTAAGGATCCTAGTATTTAGAGTGCTTTATCAGGGTCCCCCCCCATTTTCGGAAACTCCCATATAGGGGCCGTAACCATTAATTACCAATGGTATTAATTAAGGCATACCGGGCGCCAAAACCCTATTATACGTATAAAGGCGCCTATATTAGGCTCATATTGCGGACGAGCCCACGGAAGAATGCGCCTGGAACATGTCTAGCCACACTTGCCGATGTGTCCAGCTGCACGTCCCAGACCTTCCGATGATATCTTTGGCTCACATCTACTCCTGTGTATTCGGGAACTAGCTGCCGATGAAATCGTACAGCAGTGCCCAAAAAGAAATGGATCAGCAGTTGGTAGTTCCTCAGCATACCTTCCCTCCCCAAAAGCTGAAACGTAGGCTACTTTAAGGATCATGGATGGGACTTAGTAACCAGGGTTATAGCTAGGGGAACTATACTTAAAACTACTTATAACCCCAATTCAGGGACTAAAAAACCATACTTACTAAGTCCCACGATCCTCCAAGTAGCCTTTTGGTGAGCTTCATTTTCCAAAAGTCTAATCCAGCGAGGTATAGTTCCCGGACCCTGTGCACAGCCCCTGAAGCCTAAACCCGCGTGAAACTCCCTGACCAAACCCCAAGTTTCACTCTAGGGGCTTTAACTTATTGGCTGTAAACTGAACTTTTCAACTTTTGGGGTTCTTATAAGGTAGTCGGTTCTGAAAGTTTCAACTTTTATTTCCTTGGGTTTTGGGCCAGTGAGTTAAGCTTTGATTCAGAACTCTAAATCAGCATAGATTCCTTAGTAGCTGAGTACGTAACCTTTAACTTTGACCCTTTTGAGGCCTCTAGAAACCTATAGACCACAATTGCAAAGGTTAACCCTTTTTGGGCTAGGGTACTCAGCCCTAAGATTCCGTCAAGTCCAAGGCGCGCTTCATGCTTTGGACGTCGATGCTTGGGCTGCCTGTGGAAAGCAGGGGAGTGGTAAAGGGGTCTATAGGGGCTACTTTAAGGGATCTATAAGGGAACTATGTAATCCCTCCCCCGAGCTGGTTCGTAGTAACGTCGTAGTAGGGAGTTTGGGAATGGATTCCTGATGGTCCTCGAAGGTATCTATTGCAGTTGTGGTCCCAACTTTCGTGAATCCCCCATTCCCTACTGAGAACAAAGGGGTTCGATCTGGAAGCCTGATTAGTTATGCATGTTATTAACTTCCCAGCTCCTAGTAGTGATACCAAGGCCCTCTCTTTAGAGTTTCGGGTTGCAGCTCACGATTTAGGTTTTACTTTTTACAAATAATGCAGTCTGCCTCGGTCCCTTCAGAGGTGTGATAAGAGTGAACTAGGAATTATGGCACTAGAGGACGGGAAATTAGTCAAATCATCCGGAGTCTACAGTACTCCCATATGGGGGTTTCCGAAAATAGGTGGACCCTAGTATAGTACCCTAAATAGTAGGATCCTTCTTATAACGACCCCTAAATAAGGTACCCCTATTTTCGGAAACTCCCATGTACTTTCATGGTTATGGCTCAAGGGTTCGGGCCTTCAGTCGAATAAGCTTGCTTAAGGGATCAAGGGACTTAGTAACCAGGGTCAAACTTAGGGTAACTAAACTATGTAACCCCAATTAAAGGTATTTGAGGTTATCGCCCCAAAATCTTACCTCAAGGATCATGGGACTGAGTAACTAGGGTTATAATTAGGGTAACTATACTTATAACTACTTCTAACCCCAATTCAGGTAGTCATAACCATACGTGCTAAGTACCATGATCCTCCAAGCAGAGACTTTGAGTTGTGGGTCTTTACTTGTAGCCCACAAGATCCAGATTTTTGGTGTTCCTTACTCTGAAACTGTTGTGTAATCTCATAGTCAGGTAGTATGTCTTTTGGTTTAGATTTTGGAGTTCAAGGGCGTAGGGTAGGGGTTCAGGTTTAGGGTTTAGGGTTTAGCAATCCGGGTTGCGAAGATGCGATATTGAATATTGATGGGGAGTAGTATTTCGGGTATAGATGAAGTCTGCATTGTACAATCGGCCCGCTTGGGTTGTGGAGGTTACGAGTTGCGTTCATCCGCGACATAGTCCGGAATCCGTGTTGCTGACAGGCTGAAGGCCAGAACGCGGCGGGCTCGTCAATGACGCTTTAGTGACAGTACTGAAGAGAAGCGTCGACCTTGTTCCAACCAAATCGCCTGGAACCATGACAGACTCCTAAACACGGTAAGCCTGCATCTTACCGCAGAGGAAGGCAGCGTAAATCCAAGCTCCCTAGTCCTTGGGCCCTCATGCCCGAATCCAGGCCGCAAAGTTTAAGGGCACTAACGTCTCAACATGCCGCCAACCTAACCCGAAAACACCGCAAAAGCCTCTTAGGAAGCCCATACCAATATTAGTACTGATATAAACACTAATACGAATACTAATAGTAATAATATCGATCACTACTATTAATATCAACACTCATACTAATACTACTAGCAATAATCATCATACTAATACTAGAATTAGTATTAATACTCATGCCAAGCCTTCCCAAAGCCGAGGAAGTTCGCCTTGGTGGTGGCCACGCCGTTCATTCCTCTCCCCTTCGGCTTTCTCGCGCGGAAGTTTCTGGAGCCCCTTACGCCTTAGGGTGTAGGATTGTAGGGTTTGGTGTTCAGATGTGTTCAGGATTTTAGGGTTTAGTGTTCAGGATTTTAGGGTTTAGTGTTCAGGATTTTAGGGTTTAGTGTGTAGGATTTTAGGGTTTTAAGATTTTAGGGATTTAGGGCTTCGGATTTTGGGGTTTAGGGTAGGAGCCCGAAGTCTGGAAATTGTGTAGCGCTGAGCTCTTCAACCCCTATCGTCGTCAAGCCTAAGGATCCCTTAACAGGAACCCTGAATCAGCCTTGTCCTTTTTCATGGTTCCCCCAGAAGAATAAACAGACCGGCTAGTAGACCTTCTTAAATCATTCCTACCGAGGGATAGAGGTATAGGGCTCTGTCTATTGTTTCTAAAAGGACAAGGAAGGGTGCCCTGAACTCTAAACCTAAACCTCAAAGGCTTACCTTTTTCTTGTAATCCTCAAAGCTCAACGGGTTCGCTGAGGGCTCAACAACCGCCACCCAGAGCCCGAAGTGGCCCGACTTTCCTGTCCCTTCAAGCCCCATAAGGGAGTTTCCGAAAATGGGGGACCCTACTATTAAACCCCAAAATCGTAGGATCCTTATGAAAAGGAGCCCCAAATAAGCTACCCCTAATTTTCGGAAACGCCCATAAAAAAAACAAGGAGGACCCCCTCCCGACCTCGCAACCTCAGGGAGGGCCTCCAGGAATACATCCCACAACCCTCACGATCCTGCCGGACAATGGCGACGTTTGGGCCCTCCTGGTTTCTTTCTGTGCAAATGCATTTTGGGCCACATGCACCACTGCAAGTCTCTTGCGACAAGCGTGCTTAAAGGATCATGGGACTTAGTAACTAGGGTAATCATTGGGGTAACTATACTTATTACTACTTCTAACCCTAGTCATGGTTCCAACCCCAGTTATGGTACTTATAACTTACTTACTAAGGTCCATGATCCTCCAAGTGTGGACAGAATTACGGAATTGCATGGTGCTGTCACAGAAACCACATTGCACGACACCGGACCAGTCTCTCAGAACTTCCTCAGTGGCGCTGCCCCCAAAGCCCTACTTGGAGGATCATGGGGACTTAGCACGTATGGTCATAAGTACCTTAATTGGGGTCATAAGTACCTTAGTTGGGGTTATAAGTATAGTTACCCTAATTATAACCCTAGTTACTAAGTCCCATGAACCTTTGAGTAAAGTACCGTGCGGGTGCTTAGCACACCAGCGAGCACCCATGATGTAACTACCCTAAGGCCCCCAAGTAGTTCCTTCTTGGGGTTCATATTTAGAATTCTTTCAGGTAATCCCCAAAAGGAACTACTTTGGGGCCTATGGGTAAAGCCTTTCCTTTCAATCCTTCCACCCCTCCACGTTCGACTTCCAAGGAAGCCTTAGCCTGTGGTTAAGGTCGAAAGTCAGAACTTCCCCTAGCGATCAGAATAGCCGAAAAGCCTTACATAGTATGGTCTTTGGGCCCAAAAGCCTTAACATATGAGTCCTTAGATCCCTAGGGTTCTTGGATGCTTAGCGAGCATTCTGTTCGGCGTTTCCTCGCAGGATGTGGTCATCGGGCAGCTGACCGGCGAAGCAGAGGAGGATTCTGCGAATGCTCGAGCTGCTATCGTCGAAGGATGTGCTCTGCCGAGCTAGCCGGCAGCTCATAGACTCTGAAGCCTACCCTAAGGCTCCAAAGTAGTTCCTTTTTGGGGTTCATATATAGAATCCTATAAGGTAATCCCAAACAGGAACTTCTAGGGAGCCTCTGGGTAAGCCCCAAAACGGTACATCAGGAGCTCAGCACTCTTGAGAAGAGGATGGAGAAGAAGATGGAGGAGATTAGCCGACGCTCGGATGTTGTGACTTCGAGTTTCTTGTCGTAGTTTAGGGTTTAGGGTTTAGGGTTTAAGGGTTTAGGGTTTAAGGGCTTAGGGTTTAGGGTTTAAGGGTTTAGGGTTTAAGGGTTTAGGGTTTAGGGTTTAAGGGTTTAGGGTTTAGGGTTTAGGGTTCAGCCCCTAGCCAAGAAATAGGTTGAGGCTACAGTAATTCATTGTCAGTACTGATATTGCCTATTGCAATCATAATGCAACATACCCCGACACCACATTCCAGTTATCAAGCCCTTAAACTGGGCTCACATCACATGTTCTTTACGGCTTCACCAACAACACAAGCACTTATCCTCATAAAGAAAGACCAGCCAAGCAAAATCAAACGCGCCGGTCCAACTTCCCATATCTTCCTGAGGCCGAACTGCTCAGAAGCTGCAGCTGGAGGAGGTGCTTGTGGGATGACCCTAAAACCTAAACCCTCTTTAAAGAAGGGAGCATGTGACGTCGCGAAAGGAAAGCACACCAAGAAGCTAGGCTCCATGTTCAGGGCGTTCAGCAAATCTTCTGACACTGGAGCTTTGAGCCTAAGCATTAAACCCTGAATCCTAAACCTTAACTTCCAGGATCTTGACTGTTTTGGGGCTTAAATCATTAGGAATGACTCAGTTGGCCCCAAACGCTATTCTAGTTATTAAGGCCCCATGTTACATTGCTGGGAATGCTGACAGGAATAGCTTCGGGGCTTAGATTCGGTTTGGGGCTTCTCCCTTAAGCCCTACACCCTGAGAGCCTTAAACCCTAAACCCTAAACCCCAAAACCTAAACCCCTAAGCCCTCAACAGTGGCTCGTATCATGCTAAAACTGGGCCAGGCGGCTGTTACTGAAGCGGTTCAGACCAATGGTTCAGGTTTGGGAGTTTCCGAAAATAGGGGACCCTAATATAGTACCCCAAATAGTAGGATCCTTATTATAAGGACCCCAGAATAAGGTACCCCTAATTTTCGGAAACTCCTGTTTAGAGGTTTAAGGTCTGGGATTTAGGGGTTTAGGGTTTAGTGGTTTACGGTGTAGTTGAGACCATGGTTCACGTTCTAGCTTCCGGATTGTAATTGTTGTGAAGTTGTGGTAGACGCTACATTGGGCGTGCATAAATGCAACGAACCTGGGGAAGGGTTGGTACTGGCTGCTGCTTTGCACACTTCCTTCTGGATGTGGGGGGGGGGGGGTAGGGCGGGGTAGGGGCTGGCCCCTGAAAACATGCTTGACTCGGTTGAGAGTGCTTCAAAGTTTTGGCCTTATTGGTGAGACAGCAAAGAGTTTGGAAACTCGCGACCCAAAACACCCTAAACCACCAGCTTCAGGCACGGATTCCAGAGAGCCCAGATGCTTTTGCACAAAGTGTGCGTGTTGAGTTTGGGTTTTCAAAGGTTTCGGAATTCGCCAATGGCCCAAACTCACAGGCTCACAGAATGAGGGAGCTGCTGATCTAAAGTTCTGGAGAAGCGCCCTTCAGAGGAACACCTTCCTCGAAGCGTGCGAGCGCAAATTTTGCGATGCACTCATAGCTTGCTTGGGAGGATCATGGTACTTAGCAAGTATGATTATCAGTACCTTAATTGGGGTTATAAGTAGTTATAAGGATAGTTACCCTAATGATAACCCTAGTTCCCAAGTCCCATGATCCTTTAAGTAGCTTGAACCCGAACATAAACCCCAGAGCCGCAGTTGATCCCTGGAAACCTTTGCATAAATCCCCTCAACCTTAAATCCAACCCCGACTTTAGCTTCTCAAACCCCTAAGCTGTCCTTAAACCCTCCTAAACCCTAAACCCTATGCCCTAAACCCTAAACTTCAACTTCTCAAACCCCTATATAAGCTTTCCTTACCTTAAATCCTTCTAAACCCTATGGCCTAAACCCTAAACCCCTAAACCCTAAACCCCAAGCCCTAGAGCTTCAACTTCTCAAACCCCTAAAGCCCCCCAGAGGCCTTTCGCATTGGCAGCGCCCACGCCCGGGCCGCCAACGACCAGATTAAGGCTCTGGTGTCTCAGGGTTTAGGGTTTAGGGGTTTAGGGTTTAGGGGTTTAGGGTTTAGGGTTTAAGCTTTGGGGACCCTTACGGGGGTGGGGGGACTATGCTTCCTTAAATGGGCCACATACATACACATATATATATATGTATATGTATATAGAGTGTGTATCTATATATAAATATGTAAAGATATGTATCTGTAGTATTCTTCCAGAGCTTACGCCCACTCGTCAGGTCAGTAGTCGAAATTCCGGGATCAGGAACCCGACCAGGCTGAAACAAGGGAGACCTGGTTAAGACTTAGTTACTATATAGTCTATAGTGTAGTACACCTTTCCTTAATATAACCACAGTATGTTACACAAAAATCTGTTCGAGCTGTTAATGCCCCGCACATCATCTGCGATATGGCTGCATCTGCAGCCCCACTACGGTTTATTATTACCACGGAGCCCTGAAGCTTAAATCGTCACATGGACAGTTCAGGACATGGCGATGATCGATCACCTGTGGAGCAGATGCCTGACTGGATAGTTCGTATGGATGACTGGTTTGCCGGCTTGGTGTTGGGGTTATAGAGTTTAGGGGTTTTCATGTTTTTAGCAGAGAGTTTCAACACCACGGCTTTCAATATCAGCCCACCTTCTACATTGGGGTGCTTCGCGGGTTACAACTTACAGGCTTGCATGCCGTGCAGTGCAGATAGTAGATAGTGTGCCGGATCATGATCGAGCGTAAGCCAAGCAATGTTGTCACCAACAGAAACCCTGAACCCTAACCCCGAAACCGTCTGGGCCTTTTCTGAGCATCCAGACCGCGGACTCTCAAGCAACCCTTCCCTAAACTCCACCCGAAACCTTTCTAAAGGTGGGATGGTATTCTAACAACATAGCTGCTGGCTTCTCTAGACGCATCAGTGCTGCGATAGGGCAACTACAAGGGTACTATAAGGGTAGCTATAAACGGGTTACTATATGGGTTGCCATAAGGGTAAGATAGAGCTCACTGTAGAAACATACACGCTGCCATATCGGTCGCGATAAATGGGCATTTCCAGGTTCTTCCGGAGGAGTTTTCAGGGTTTTTAGGGTCTGGGGCTTCCGGGGCACACTGGAAGGGTTCCCAGGTGCCCTGAACCCTAAACCCCACACGTTAAATTCTTTACGGCATTTTGGGGTTTGGGCTTTTCAAGTCGAGATTGGTCCCGATCTTTGATTCTGCAGGCTAGGAGAGCATTAGTGTGTTTGCCGGCGTTTGTCGCTGGTTTTGGTTCGAGCATGTTTTACTGCAGGTTGAAAACATAGCATTGCATTTAACCAGTAAACCCGAAGCTCCACGCGCCGAAGACCAAAAACTCTACGATTGATTGGATTCGGGACAGGGTTTCAAGGATCCGGAGTTTTACTGTCGGGCATAATGCAGTGGCCTCTTATGGGGTTTGGGTATGCGCGATCGTACCTTTCTTTCGCCCACTTGGAGGATCATGGGACTTAGTAAGTAAGGTTATAAGTACCTTAATTGGGGTTAGAAGTAGTTATAAGTATAGCGGTCCTAATTATAACCCTAGTTACTAAGTCCCATGATCCTTTAAGAAGACCCTAAACCCTAAAAACTAGAGATCCCTTTAAGGAGCCCCTATAGATCCCTTTTTAGGAACCCTTTAAGGAGCCCTAGTTACTAAGTCCCATGATCCTTTAAGTAGGAGCCTCTGGATTCTTTTCAACTTCCGGCTCCCCCGTACAAGGAAAGTGCAGAAGCTCCCCAAAAGCGTTGTCCCAATTCTTAGGTTTGTAAAGGCCGGGTCTGTTGAGTTCAGGGGGGGCTAAAGTAAGGTACGGAAATGATAGACAGCTTGAGGCTGAAAAAGTGCGGGCCGCAGAAAACAAGGCGCTCCCGCATCAGCGGTTCTTGTATCTGTCGCTCTTGTCCTGCTTTAATATAGGGGCCTATAATACTTACCTATACTATTTTGGGGGATCCTTATTATAAGTAAAGTCTAGTGGCACCAAACCCCTATTTCTACTTTTGAACGCCCTTATATCACACGAAAGTCAAAAGCTGATGCTTCGGCCGTGCTGGCCCCTATATCATAGAGCCCTACTTGAAGGATTGTGGGACTTAGTAGGTAAGGTTATAGGTACCGTACTTGGTGTTATAAGTAGTTATAAGTATAGTTACTCTAATTAGAACCTAGTTTTGCCCCATGAACCTTTAAGTGCCATAGATCCGTTTAAAGAACCCTTGAAAGGAACCCTATTCTACTAATATTTAGGCCGCTATATTATAGCACCTATTGTAACGCTTATAGACCCCCTTAAAGGACCCTTTCAAGGAGCCCTATTCTGCTGAGGCAGCATGACCGCCATGAGCGAGTCTGGAGCTCACGAAGAAAATTCATTGTCACTCAGACTGAAGCTTTGGGTGCAGGGTTTGGGGGTGTAGGTTTTGGGGGGGGTTGTGTTTTGAGGGTTTCGGGCTTGAAGTTTTAGCCCTCACGTTTTTTTGTTGTTTGCTCCTTTCTCATGAACTGAATGTCATCTGTTCGATTTATTTCGGTGGGTTTGTCGTTAGCAGGTAATGTTCATAGTTGTTCTGTCCTTTTTTCCGTTCATGTTTTTTCCGTGTTGTTCTTTGGACATGTCTGTATTTCATTCTTCCCGTCTTTCTGTCTTTGTGTCTGGGGGCCCATTGATATGGCGACCGTACCCAAAGAACTGGTATGTATGTCGCCTTTGTGCAAAAAACTAAGGTTCTGGGTTTCAGGTTACCAGAGGTCGGCAAGAACGGAATTTGGAGCTGGAAGTCAAGATGACCATAACAAAGACGCAATAATCACCCCCCCCCTTCAGCCCGAGCAAATCCTCAAACGATTTCAAAACATGAAAAGCCAGTACACGGAACACACCCCCTGCGTGCTTAGACATCCCTGAACCCTAACCTAAACCGTAACCCCCAAACCCTACTTGGAGGATCATGGGGACTTAGTAAGGCAGGTTATAAGTACTTTAATTGGGGTTGTAAGTATAGTTACCCTAATTACGACCCTAGTTACTAAGTCCCATGATCCTTTAAATAACCCTAAAAACCCTCTTATAGAGCCCTTATAGATCCTTTTTTAGGCACCCTTTAAGGAAACCGAGGTACTAAGTCCCATGATCCTTTTTGTAATCGATCATTCTATAGCCGAGGCTTTGGTCTACCATGAAGAAGGTCACCAGCTTCAATCGCTGGGCTCCTCGCCCTTCCTTACCGTAGCTTGGTTAGGTCTGTTTGACCTTGGAAACTAGGCTTTAGGGCATAGAAGGTCAGTTGCACGGGTGAGGTAGCGCAAACATGTGTGTCTGTCGGTCTGTCTGTGTGTGTGCGTGGCTCATATCCTTCCTACTTTCGCGCATTGGAAGCTTTTGAGGGATACGAAGCATTCAAAACCTTCTCCGGAACTTACATAGGGTGCATTGCAAGTTCATTATATACGTGAAGTAGTGTGGTTCTTGATTTCACAGTCAAGTTGTTTGATTCGCTTGACAACATGTCCAGAAGCTGCGCGGTGTGCGGGACGGGCAACAGCGTGAAAATTTGTGGTGGGTGCAAAGACCGCTGCTACTGCAGCGCTGAGTGTCAGCGCAACGACTGGAAGACTCACAAGACATCCTGCCGCAAGAAAACTGGCCCGACATCGGACTGTCAAGACAAGGATTTTGATCCAGCTGATATGTTTGCAAAGCATCACCTTTGCCAGTTTGTACCAACGATTGTTGGGAAGGGTGGTGGCGTGGTTGCAACAGCTTTCATATCTGCTGGTGAGATCATTGTGAGCGACCGGCCTATCCTATACATCAGTGAGCAGGAGCTAGGCGTCTCAGACATTTGGTCTTCCAAGCCCGAGCACAAAATCGATCAAAAGCATGCATTGGTCAAGAGAAAGTTTGCGCAGCTTTCCGAGATGGATCAAGCCAAGGTGGGATAACGTCCAGAGACCGACCCACCCAGCGTAGCGTTGTTCCGCCAATTGAACCTGTCCTTCTCGTTGAGCTGATAATGCCTCTTTCAGGTCAGCAAGTTCGAACTCATAATATAGGGGCCATAGTATTGTGGGGGTTCCTTGCTATGATTTTAGTAGAACAGTGTACCCACCACCCTATGTTTTATTTATTAAGGCCCCTACATGAATCCATCCCGAAGCTCTTGGTTCGAATCCCTGTGAGGTGCTTTCCTTGGAAGACTCTCAGACCAACAACAAACTCGCGCGTGCGATCACGGACAGGATGTACAGGGATGGTCTCATCAAGTCGCCGTGGGACAAGCTCTACACGCTGTCCGCCGTCCCTTCGAGACACATTCCGGATCTACAAGATCCTGGCTACAAGAGTCCAGAGGGAGTGTTTCAGACCAACAGCCTACCCGTGGGAGATTCAAACTCCTTGGGCTTGTTTCCGTTGATCAGTAGATTCAATCACAGCTGTTGCCCCAATGCTGGCTATCGTGGGCGGGCTTTCATGGACGAAGAAGTCCAAGTGGTGCAAGCCATGAGGGACATCCAGTCTGGGGAGGAGATTCTCGTGTCGGTGGACATGCTTTTGTAAACTTTACAGAGTTGAAATTTAATTGCTTCATAGAATCATAGTAACATGAGATCTCCTCGAAGCATACTAGGAGGAAATTGTATAAGCTTGTATGTGGTTGCTGAAGATTTCTCAAGCAGATTTGCAGCAAGACAAGGATTTGTGTGAGCTACTTCAACGGCTACTTTACAACGTCAGATGGGCGGCAGAAGCAAACCATGATGAGTTGGGGATTTCAATGTCGATGTGAAGCTTGTCAGCCTGCTGGATTGCAGGAAGTCAGAGCACTTGTGCAATCTTTGGATGACGGCCACATGTCAGATGAGGACATGACAGCGCTTGTTGGACCAGAGAAAATGGCATTGGTCTTGTGGAAGTTTGAGTCGGATCAACGCCGGCAGAGACTAAACGACTTGAACACCCGCTTGAACACCGCTTCATCGCTGGCTATGGCAAAGCGAATTGTGGAAGAAATGGACTGCTTGTACCGTCAAGAAAAGATTTTGCCACATTTGCTGGTTGAGGTGCAGATCGCTTTGGACTTTTTGCAGGCTCAAGTCACCTTTCGCGGGTCAGACATTAAGAAGTGGTGCAAGAAGTTGTATGATGCAAAACTGTTGTTGGCCGGAGAGGACAATCCCAAGACAAAGAAGGCCAAGGAGTGGTTGTCACGGACTCCATCCATCATGGAAGTTGTTGACTTTGCCAGTTCTTCGGACTAGCCGAGCAGCATGAGTTGCGCAAAAGAGGAGAGCATGATGCTTTTCCGGACGAGGCCAACCATTTCCAGTGTAGGTAAGACCCCAAGCTCTTGCGAGGGATCCCAGAAGATGAAGCAAGTCCGAGCATGCCCAGGAACAGAGCTTCATTTTCCAATGCAAGCTTACACCTGACGTTTTTTCCGGGCTTGGGCTAAGGGTTTAGGGATGTTTAGGATGAGACCAGCGGGCTGTCAGGCAGGGCCGATGGATGCATCCATGGCTACAGTGCTTAAGTCGCCACGGAATGTGTCTTGCCCAATGTCGTTTGCTGCAGACGTTCGCAAGTTTGGAGGGCGTTTACTAGTCAGTGCTGCTGAGTCTTGAGTCGCACATGAACACCGCGCTGCTTTAAGTCTGCCGAGCCAATGGTATAGAAGCCTCAAACGTATAGTATCCCTGTAAAGGAACCCTTACAGGAACCCTCGAACCCTTATAGTAGCCCTCCAAAAGAACCCTTTAAAGGAGCCCTACTCTAAGTATTAAGGCCCCTATGTTAAGCTTTTTGTGTATGCCTGACAGTAACCTCCACAGAACTCTTGTTATTGAATCCTTTCCAGGAGCCGGACTGTAGATTCTACACCGTCCTAAAGCCTCGAACCCTAAACCACTAAATCCTGAACCCTAAACATCGCTGTTATGAGTTAAAGCCCCCTTCTTAAGGCCATCATCGAGCATGACCTGGCGATGTGCATCGAGGCCTCACAGGGCGGCGGGGCTTGCAGGAATCTTCCTAGGGTTCCTTAAACGGGAACTTTCAAGGTTCCTTTAACGGGTACCGTAACCGCTCCTTTAAGGGATCTATGGGGGTTGAGGGTTTAGGGGGTCCCGGGCTTCGAGGGTTTAGGGCTTTGAGGATTCAGGCCTTCGAGGTTTAGGGTCTAGGGTTTAGGGCTTTGAGGTTTTCGAGGGTTTAGGGCTTTCAGGTTTAGGGTCTAGGGTTCAGGGTTTAGGGTCTTGAGTTTAGTTACTGTTTACGGGGGGTTTTCAGGGTTTAGGCCTGTGAGGCTTAGGGCCTCAGAATCTAGAGTTGGATCTTTAGGGTTTAAGGGGTTTGAGGTTTTAGTTGGCGGTTCAGCGTTTAGAGGGTTTGAGGTGTTTAGGTTTTCTAGGGTTTTATTGAAAGTTTTTGTGCAGACCCTCTGTTGGCGCTTTCTGGTGGTAAGTCTTTCGGGCTTTTGGGCTTTAGAGTTTAGGGAAGAAGTAATGATAGTTTTCTTTGGGTTCGCTCACAGCATTATACACCATCATACACCCACCAAAACCCTATTCCGATTACGCAGGCCCCTTTAGTAAGCGAGTTGCGGTAGAGTTCAGAGAGCCGTTTGAGGTCCTGAAGGGTTCAGGGCTTTAGGTTGGGTACGGCCCCCACTCAGTAAAAGTTGAGTAATATGCATAATATAGATATAGTAGGACCTTAATACTAGCCCTATTATAGACTCCTACTGTATGGGGCCCGTACCTAAGCTTTAGGGCATCAGAGTTTTAAGGCCTGCATCTTGCAGGCTTTAGCTGTAACCCAGCAGACTTACTTGTCGAAGGTTTCTGAGGAATTCTCAGGGTTCAAGTTCAAGATATGTCTATCGGGGTCTGAAGAATCAATGATGATATGTCTGAAGGTTCCATAGACGAGTTATACAGCCTAAAGCCCCTCCGAAGCCCAAGTCTCATCTAGTTTCTCAGGGCATGCAGTATAATTACTTGGAGGATCATGGGACTTAGTGAGTAAGCTAGGTTATAAGTACCTCAATTGGGGTTATAAGTAACTATAAGTACAGCTACCCTAATGAAAAACCCTAGTTACTAAGTCCCAAGATCCTTTAAGTAGAGGTGCTGACGCCCTCGGACTCCTTAGAGCTGGCGGACCGCGCGAGCTTCACCAAACTGATGAAGGCACTGGGGTTGTTTTCAGGGTTTAGGGGTTGGAGTTTAGGAGTTTAGGGTTTAAGGTTCAGGGTTTAGGGTTTACTTCGGGTTTTTAAGGTTGTTGTTTTCGGGCTTCAGTGGTTTAGGGTTTAGATGAAGGCACCCCTCGTTTCTGACGCTTCCCTGCGGCGGGTTTAGGTTTCTTGAGCTTCTGGGGGTTGCGAGAAGGCTGCGTTGAACTTTTCCGACTCCGAAGTTGAAGGATGGACTGCGCTGGAGCCAGCAGGGTTTACAGTTTAGGGTCATGCCGTGAAGGAGAATTTGCATAGTTCGGTGTTTGCGCAGTCAAATTCTTCATGCTATAGCCACTTTTCGTTCTGCGACTGGCTATTGTATATAACCCTGGGATCTCATAGTATAAGATGCCCCAAAGCGCTTTTCTAACTAGTAATGCTGCTACATTGCCATTTCATCAACTGCAGCACTCGCACCTCGTGAGCACACATTGCGAATCTCTTGCCGAGTAGATTCAGTCCCGGACTTGCAAAAGTAGCTGTTTGCGTTTGAAGACTCAGTTGCCGTTCATGGGTACTGAATCATGCAACCTTAGTATACTGCCAGAGACAGAGCTTTTGATCCGCTGATTGGTCCATGGAGTCTGAGTGTGCGCATCGACTTTGTAGATGCTTGACACCCCGCTAACCCAAGTTCTAGAGCATGACCGTTCTCGGCACAGGTCCACTTCGAGATGTATGTGCTAGTGCACCTCGCTGCACTGTAGTCGCAGGATCGTTTGGGAGGTGGAGAGTTCCTACTATTTGCTTAAGAAACCCCCAAAAAATAAAAATAATAATCCCTATAGTACACCCATAAGGAATATAATTTTTATTTTTTTGGGGTTCTTAAGCAAATAGTAGGTTCCGGGGTCTCCAAGTCTGAGCTGGCCCGCTCGACAATCCTGTACCTGATCCGGGGCTTGTGGCCTTTTTCCACTTTCCAGGGTTTCGGGTTCACGGTTACTCTACATGGGGCTGTTGGCACGACTGAATTTAGCCCACCAAAAAAGGAGCACTATCCAGGCTTTTGTTGACTCCTGCATCGTCCCTGCTGCCCTACCTTTATCCTCCGGGTTTTGCTACTGTCAGTGGCAAGCTCTGCACACAGAGAGCCCTTTAAACGGCACAGGGCCCGAAACTAGAAACCCCAAGTCCTAAAACCTAAATGTTTCGAACAGGGTTTGGGCCTACTTAAGGGATCATGGGACTTAGTAACCAGGGTTCCTTAAAGGGTTCCTTAAACGGGATCTACAAGGGTTCCATAAGAGGGGATTAGGGGGATTGCCAACAGGGGTTTGTAGTTGCCAGTCTGTAGTCGAACCCGCTTACAGTCCATTTATATGTCTATACGGGATGTTTCCGAACATAGGCTTAGGGGGCCCCAATATAGTACCCCGAATAGCCAGGATTTAAGGGTTTAGGGGTTTAGGGTTTAAGGGTTTAGGGTTTAGGGGTTTAGGGTTTAGGGCTTAGGGGTTTAGGGTTTAGGGTTTAGGAATCCAAGACCTGTGGTTGAGGTCATCATGCCGAGTCTGGTTCCTAGGGCGAGGATTGCACGAAGAGGTTGCAGAAAGTGCCTCCTTCTGCGCTTCCAGCGCATTACTCTTGCGAAAGCAACGACTACTTGGAGGATCATGCGACTTTGTAAGTAAGGTTATAAGTTATAAGTACTTTAACTGGGGTTATAAGTATAGTTACCCTAGTTATAGCCGCGGCTACTAAGTCCCATGATCCTTTCAGTAATCCTACACCCTTCTTAGAGCCCTTATAGTAACCCGTATAGTAGCCCTTCAAAGTACCCTCAAGTCCCATGATCTTTTAAGTCAAGCGCGGATCTCCCACGCACGAAAGGCTGTCGCATATGAGTGCTGCTGCAGATTCGAACGAGCCTCTTGGACCTAGCAGGAGAGTAGGTAACCTTTAATTTTTTTTGGGTACTATAGTCCCTATATAATCCCTATTTGTGTAGTATAGTCCCTACATGATCCCTTTGTAGCCAAAAAGGTTAACCTTTAGTTCCCCATGATACCCGTGCTGGGGTGATGGGTGCGGAAGAGGCAGACCCTTCAGGGCGCAATAAAGAGCCTAAATAATTACCCATTGTGCGAGCTCCTCAGTATATATATATATATATATAGATATATATTATTGCATACTTGGCCCAAAACCCTTTTCTAATTATTAAGGCCCCTATATTAGGGTTCGTTGCTGGAGCTTGCGCCGAAATCGTGTGGCAGATGTCCTTCCAAGGAGAGCCGCTGCTGATGTCTCTGTCTTTCCAGGTCTATCCTTGGCAGTATCCTTGTAGCAACCCTCATAGCACATTTATTTATACTGACTCATACCTTCATGCTAATCTTGTTAAGCCGTCCTCATGTCGTCGTAGCCTTGCAGTGCAATTGTATTCCAGCGACCTTATATACAGATAAGTAAGATAAAGTTCACGCCGTGCAATACAGGGTGGAAGGAAGTCCGAAAGAGTCCCAAGCAAGCTTTGCGCACCTAAATCCTCAACTCTAAGCCAAAAGAAAGATCTATAAGTCCTCAAGTCCAAGCCGCCTTCCTGCATGAACTTATAGTAGAAGCCAGAAAGTTGGAACATGGTTTTAGGAGGATTAGTGCTAGGATCCCTTATACTTTACCTTAAGGGTATGAGGAAAATTATGTTCCAACTTTCTAGCTTCTACTATAGGGTCTTGCGAGTCTCGGATTTCGTGCTTCAAGTTTTTCAGCTTGTGGGCTGCAACGTGCAGTTTTTGGACACAAGTCTGAATAATTGGCAGGAGTATCCCAATGTAGTCATACTCCAATAATGTGCAATAAAGCCTGTTATTGGGAATGAAACAAGTCTAGAGTTGAAGTTATGGTGATTCCCCCCTCCCCCTTCGCACTGCCCTCGCGCGGAGGAATGTCGAAGAGATGAACGCAGAGCTGTCAAAGAAGGCCACATGCTTGCCACACGGGGGAGCCCAAAGCCCTGCATTGGCTTATCCTAAAGCCCGAACCTGTGGCATGTTGTCCCATTAACATAGGGGCTTAAAT